AGTAGTTGCTATTTTGTATCAGTTTACTTATCATTTACTCAGATTTCAGCCATCCTTTAACTAACATAATGAGAAGGACACTGCTAGAGAACCTAAATTCCAGTTTCCCTCCTCTTAAAGTACTTTTCCTAGCCAACATTTTCGCCTGCTTAGTTAGTTTGCCGTGGCAGTCATTAGTAGTCCTATGTTAATTTGGTGCGCCTAATAAACTGCTACTTTTTGCCAGCGCCCCACCTGGCGCACACTGCCACCCACCATTACACCACCCACCGTTACACCACCCAGCAGCCACCATTACTCTGACTCCCAGAACCGCCCAGCAGTCAACCCGGCAAATGGAATGGTGGCGCTGTGCGAATTTGCCACTTCAACAGCTCCTTGGTGGCAACACGGTCACGTACGCGAAACGAGTGAAAGCTGAAATTTTGTTGAAAAAGGATATATGGGCACAGAGCTGGCATTGTCCTGGGGCCGTGAGCTGAATTCCAACTGCGTTCAGTTCGTATATATGTTCGTATATAGTATGGCATAGGCCACTATACCCCGCCCTATCTGTCTGCTTGTCTGCCATCTTGGCTTCTACATACAGACTTTTCGCCCCGTTTCTTTTTTCTCTGACTTTTTTGTAAAATGGCGTGGCAATGTGGATAAAGAAAATGTACAAAAATTATTGATTTTTTTTCGGGTGAATTTTTGTGCTCTCAAGCTACTTAAATTCAGGATGCTACAATGTTGAATCAGCCAAAATAAGTGTGTGCCGCAACTGTCACAGATCAACCGCAAATACAGCTGACGTAACTGTCAAATTGTGATTCACTTTTATTTATTCATCATTTTTGGTAGTTGTACCCTCCGACTGGCAGGCCATCATTTTTACCACACATTTTTAATATGCACAAAACAAAACACATGTCAAAAAACAAATCAGAAAAACTTTGTTACCCCAACCTGACATGTCACGCGGCCATAACGAATATAAGGTATATATTCCAGTCAAATGTACAAGTTTTTTGGTTAAAACAAAAACTAAATGAGAAACTCGCAAAAGGTGACAGGTAATTGACAACATAAGATTGAAGTCTTCATTGTGAGTTGGTTTTTGGAGTAAAAATATTCTATTATGACATAAGGTTTGTAGAAGTTTAACTAAACATTGTTAAATATTTATTAACATGTTGACTATATCTCAAAATAAACTTAATTTTTTTTTTCTTTTTACAATATTAATGTAATTTAAAATATGCAGAGAAAACTAATCCTGTTGCATTGTTTTTTTTTTACTTTCACATGTATTGCAATTTTATTTATTTTATAATTTCTTTAAAAATTGTGTCAGTTATCGTATTAAGTTTCTCATTATATACCATAATATTTTTTCTTTCTCTGGCCGTTCTTCTTTCGCCTGTCCAATTATGTATATATAGTTTTTTTTAGTACTCCGCTTTCAACACTCTTTAAAATAAGCGCATTAAATGCAAAGCTGCAACTTCCGATTTTAACGCGGTGCACACGAAAACGCTTCGAACCTTCTGCAGCCAAAGTGAAAACCAGTTGGCGGTCTTAATTATGAGCAAATGTTGGTCAAGTTATGCGACCGTTCTTTATACTCGCATTTTCCCTCTGGCTCCCCGTTTTTGCAGGCTCACTTTTCACTTTAGTCGGTGGGTTGTGCGAGCTTCAAGAGGGCCAGTATCGAAATCCTATAATTATGTGCAATCAATACTTTTTTGGTATCGGCTTAAAGCCGAAACGGATGTGTATTGGCGGTATTGGCCGGGCATTGAGTTGGATGTTTAACCGGGAGAAGATGGGCAGGCAGTTGCTAATAAAGCGATTTGAGGGTCGACTTCTTAACGGAGAAGGCCCATAAGGAAAGGGTTACTTAATGCGGAAACACTTTTTCCTTGCTTCAAATTTAATTATTTTTTTTTTACAGCTAACTAATAATTGAGCCATGTAACTTGTTAAAGAAAAAATATTTTGCAATTACAATTAAGTTTACTATAAATAAATATTTTTTAATTTTTTGTTGTTTTTGTTTTCTAACGTATATTATCATTTTTCTATTTTGATTTAGCTATTTATTTACATGCCTTACATTACATTTTACATTATTTCTACATTTTACAACCTCCACCCTAAGCTTGTAAATTATAATCATAGATGGCGTTTTGAAATTTATTCTTTGGTTTGAGATGTTTTAAAATATTTCTTGTCTTTTTAAAACTGGGATTGCTTAGCGCATTAACTACAAATTAAATTTGGTTCTTAATAAAATGTTAATCAAAAAGTTTTAACTTACTGCAATTTACCACTTTATATATTCTATTCTTTTTTTAAACGTTGCCTGGCAACGTTATAACGAAAAAGTATTTTCATAACATTCTGTTGACAAGTGTCAGTTGAGCAGGTGCTCTCGTAAAACCGGATTAATTTGATATTGAAACCAAGATGAGATTTATTCCGCTCCATACGACTAACACGGCGATCGTGTACAAAAACTCACTGTGCTCCTTTGCTTCCCTCTTGGTCCTGGCTTTTGTGGCTCTCTCCGTGATGTTGCCCGTTCTCCTGGTGTCCTTGCTGAGTCCTTATTCGGGAATATCAGAGTCGAGGATCCTATACGAGCAGCCGAATGTGGAGTTTACCTATGAGTACATATTCGTGGGTACAACGGAACCTGGAGAATATGAAGAGGAGGAATCCCTTGTTGCCTGCAGCAGTTTCGGCAATTTCAATGCCCAAATGGATAGTTACACGAATAGTTGCACCACCACCAAATATTGGATTGAGGATGTGGACTACGATGGCGTCACGGATCGGGCACATTTTCAACTGGAACTGCAGGATGTGCCTGCTCGATTGGTTAGCTTTAACTTGCTGGTCTTCTTCGAAGCTAAATTGCAACACAAGTGCGATCTTTCACCTCCGTCCGTGTTGGCTCATCAGCTGCAACTACCGCTGGCCACACGCCTCGTAAATGGACACGTGCAACTGAAAGGAGAGCTACAACTTAAGCAGTATGTGGAGTTTACCTGCCCATTTCCAGGACGCAATATCAAGACTCAGTTCCGGAAGGTTCAAGTGGATAAAAATTCCACCACTGGGAATATACAGCAGTTCAAAATGGAATCCCTGCTGGCCCAAGTTAAGGCCAATCCAGCTTATTTCCAGCTGTCCGTGCAGGAAACGTACTACAAAGAGACTTCACCTCGTTTCGAACCCGGTCTCATCATCGAACTGGAACTGGATGTGCTTCAAGTTCCCGCTCGTTATCATCTCAGCATTTGGGAACGTCTTGGACAATTTTGGCTGTACTTTGCCTCCTTCTTTGGCATCTCGTTTTACATTATGAACAAGCTGAAGGACTTTCTCTTCGGACGCCACATCGTTCGATCCTGGGAGATCATACCCTGGAAGAAGCTCTACTGACACGAATCGGGAGCCATTTTGGAGATGGACAACTTCTCGATTGGCGAATGATTCTAGGCTGCCCGATTTGGGAGTTCCAATGCAATTTCATTGTCAGTCAAATAATAAATATAACAAATGTACAGAAAATTTAAGTGGAGTACAGGGGATCGGAAGGATCCGCCTATTTATCCTGACTATTGGACATCAGGGCCAGATTGCCAAAGGAAGACGCAGCGGACGCAGGCTCGGGTGCGGGATCAAAGGCGCGATTGTCCTCAAGGATGATGGTGGTACGGGGATAGTGATCCAATTGCACAAAAAGATAGCGATACTCCAGTTTGCCACTGTCCGACTAAGTTAAAAATGGGGTATAATAAGTATTAATAAAGGTATAGATTAAATTGGGTCGATTTTAATGGGTTAAGAAAAGAGCGTTCCTTGGACTGCCTTCATATTTGCCAGGTTCAACACACCCTTTTCCGGCCATTAAACCTGACCTAGTTTGATGTATAACTTATTATTTATTTACCCTCCTAGACTCCAGTTGTACAGTGGCCTTGTTCCTCAAGCCCTGCACATAGAACTGCATCCGCATGTGGGGTTTGCCGTTGCGTTCGTAGCTGGAGTGGGCCACATGCTGCCTGCGACCCCGCCTGGAAGTCTCTCCGAATCCCTTGATGGGTGCTCCAATGGCATCCTGCACGCGCGTATCCTCAACCACGCGGGCCAATGCATCTGCGTAGATATTGTTGGGACTCTCGCTAGAGAAGAGCTCCCGGAATATGGCGAAGAACATGACGCACGTCACTCCCAGGCCAGCGATTATGATGGCCGTGTAGCTGGCTGTTTTCGTGTTCTCCTTGATCTTCTCGCCAATGGGACGCACATCCGTGGACACTTGGGTGTTATCCTGCGATCGCTGCAGTGATCCACCACCATCTGCATTAATAATATGGTTATTAATATGTATATATAACCTAATGGGAAGTCAAAACACAAACCGCGCGACGCTTCCTGGCGCAAATGTGGACTCCAGTGCATCGCTGCCGCACATTTTAGCCGGGAAAAGTTGGTGGGCAGCAGATTCTGCCGCTGACTGACCAAATTGCGCAATAAAGCTAACCGTGACATTGTTGAAGTCCAAATCGATGGTTAAAAAACAAATAAATGCACTTTACGAAAAAAAGAATTATAATCAGCTGTTGTGTTGAGCGATATAAATAGTGTTGCCACTGTATCACTTATCGATTCACAGGACTATCGATGAAATAAAAAGCTAAAATAGCTATCTTCGCTTGCAAGTTGGATTATAATTTATTTTCAGGGCTATGAAGAAGAAAAAATGTTGTTTATATATATATTTTTAATAAGCCCAGAAAAGATCTGATTATTTACGTATACTTAAATTTACAATAAGAAAAAAAACCTATAATGTTATAGCTCTCAGTAGCAATTTGAATACTTTTCAAAGTCATTAGTTATGAACAAAATAATAAAAGCTTGTTTTGGCTAGAAAATGGACATCTTGTTAAATGCAAGCAGGCTGGCAACTCTGTCATCTGTTACTGTAAGCTTTTTTTACGTCAAAAAGTCAGAAAACCTGATAAAACAGACGAAGCCATTCCCATCCAGAAGCCAGTTACTTCAAAGTGCACCATCACGTCGCTCAAAACAGTTTTCGGTCGCATCCTCAGACGCCACTACGCGGTGAATATCAAACCCAGCAAGACCATGGTCGTCACACACAACGTTAAGGGTTACGAAGAGTTCTCCAAGAAGATGGAGGAGCTGGAGAACGGAAACGAGTCCGTCCATGTCCTCTTCAGCGGCGGAAAGGACGAGAATGGCCAGAGCTGGTGCCCCTACTGCGTCAAGGGTGAGAATGCCGTGATCCCAATGCGGTTAACCGCCGCCTATTATCAGATTTCCTAACTTATATATGTATCACATATACATACGTTCGATTGCAGCTGAACCGGTGATACACGATGCGTTGAAGAAGGCCCCCGGCAACTCGCACTTTGTGCATGTGGATGTGGGCGAGCGTTCCTAGTAAGTTAATAATATTGTTTAAACTTACAGGCTTAAACCTAATGCCAAATTAGAAAGACAGGCCTCTTTGTTTGTGTATCTATGCAACTCTCAATCTGTTGATAAGCAACTTTACTCAACGTGTATGCTAATCATGTCATTAAAATATTAAATGTAGAATATATTATTATTTATTTTAAACGTTTTCGACATTATAAAAATGATTTGAATGTTCAGTAGGCACCTAATTAAATATTAAACAATGACGTGTACCACCAAATATAATGACACATATTAAATTTTGTGGATTATCGGAATTTGGTGGTTTGCAACTAGTCATTCATCCGCAACTGTATGATGATGAAATAAACACTTCACACGCCCAGAACATTCATGATAAAAACCCATTAAACAGCGATAGCTTTACGATGCTCTTGAGTTTATGTTCATGCTGCCTGTTATCTTTTGACCATTGTAAACAAATAAATACCTTTTGTTTTTTTGCCGCAGCTGGAAGGACCTGAACTGTCCCTTCCGCAAGGATCCCAACACCCATCTGATCTTCTTGCCCACTCTGCTGCGCTGGAAGCAGCCACAGCGTCTGGACGGCGAACGCTGCTCCAATCAGGATCTCGTGGAGATGATGTTCGAGGACGAGGATTAAGTCTAAGCGCCAGGCGGTTTTACTTATATGTATATTTTGGAACTTTTCTCAAGTTGGAATGCACAGAAGTCGACACACATTCAATTAAATCGTCTCTCAGTAATTAGTCTTGTACTTTTTGATTTCCACCATAACCACATGAATGTTGGTGAGCTGGGCGCGGGCATTGGGCGTAAGGAGCTTGTGGAAACGATGGTAATATTGCACCAAACTGGCCAACGCGAGCTGGAGAAGCTGAGAGCCCGTCAGCAGAGAGGGAAAGGAGAGGAGCACTTCCCGGTTTAGCTCCTCGAGGGATTTCTTCCAGTTGGCCGAGAAGCTGGCCACCAATGCCAGACTTCTTCGCTCCTGTTTCCTCAGCTCATCCATTTGCTCCTTCTCGAAAAAGTGCTCGCACTCCTTCACGAACTGAATGATCCCACCGAAATGTGGGGCCAGAATCTCCTCCACATATTCGGCACTGCGGGCATTGAGCTGCTCTCTAAAGGCCTCCGCCTCCTTGGAATTATCCCTCGTATGCTCCATTAACACACCCAAAACCAGGTCGTAGTTGTTGATCAGGTAGATGAGCTGATCCTTGCGCGTTGGGAATATGGCAGCCATACGCAGGATGAAGCATTCCACTTCGTTTTGGAGTTCCTGAAGCAATCGGCTCACCAATTCGTTTGGAAAGTGCTCCGAGATTCCCACAATAGCCGCACTAAACTCCGCATAGCGTCGGGTTATCTGAAAAGCAATACGTATTATATGACAAGGCACTTTTTCTATCTAGTTGGTTATTATATTATCTCTAAAGCGTCCTTTTGACTTTCGTTTTGCAGGCATTCCTCAAATGTTATTAAGCAATCAATTGGGGTCTTCATAAATCAATAGGTACTAAATGTAGCAAATCGACAAAGTCATTCAACTTTGTCTTGGCAAAATCGTGACTTAATAAACTATTATCTTACATAGTGCGGTCCCAATTCCTTGTTGAACTTGGTAGGATCACAGTCGTGTATGCTCTGTATATTTAAGCGGAAGACCAACTCCAATCGTGGCCAAATAACCGATTGCAAGGAGTCCCAATATCTGTTTGGATAATATTTAAACAGTGACTCTAAAGACGCATATAAAAGAAACTTACTTATCCAATGCTGGCACACAGCGCTTGTGGCACATAAGTTGATATCGGAATATGAGATGGATGCATAGGAACATAGCAATGGTGTCGAAACAGTCGTGTATGGAGGTCTCCAAGTTTTTCTAAATTCGAGAAATTGTTATTGCTTACATTCCGGAAACTTTAACCATTGGCTTACAATCATCAGAGTTAACGTTTTGCCCATGATCTGGTTGAACAGATCTTGTGCTTGGGTGCCACGGACCATAAAGAATTCAGTGACAAAGAGATATTCCCGGCAGGCATTGTCCACCAGGGCATATTGCTCCGAACGGAAGAGAGCCTCCACTGTGTACTACAAAAGATAATTAGTTAAAACAAATAATTATTAATGAAGCCATTTATCTTACTCGGTTTTTTAGCTGGGCATGTGGCACTATAATTGGGGCCTCTAGCTGCTGATTAAGTATATCGCCTCTCTTTCCTATTGTAAAGATGGTGCTCTTGTGCTTTAGACTCGTTGTCTTGGAAAATAAACCCTTTGAGGCATTGTCCTCTATGCCCATTAGATCATCTTTTGTGCAGGATTCTTCAAATTTGAGACTCGTCAAGCGGGTGGAATAACTCTGTGAAGAAAGTAATTCATTTAGAGTAGTAAAACTCCAACGGTCTCCTTAGCAAACCTTAAAATAACTATAGTAAATCTTGCCCATTGTATCGATATATTCGCTGCATATCTCTTGGGCCACATGCCGCTCATTGGACAGAATGAACTCGAAGAAGAACTTGTGCTTGAGCATGGCGTTCTGGGGAATCTGATAGTTGGTCATGGGCTTGCGGAACTTGTAGATCTGTTCCAGCAGATAAGAGCGTATCTTGGCCATGGCTTTAAGACGGAGCTTCTGCAGCACATCGCTCACATCGCTGGTGGACTTGGACTCATTGAAGCTGAGCTCCTTGACAAGCGAGAGTTTGTGGTTGAGGACATTTAACTGGGTGCTAAAATCCCGCTCCGTGACCGGAGTTTCCATTATTATATTGATCATCTCCTCGGACACGGCCATGTCCTCAATAAACTGGGATAACTGGGCCTTGACCGACTGCCTATTGGTCAGTTGCAGAGACATGGATACGGATTTCCTTTGCAGCTGGGTGATCTCAGTGCTGATGTTGTTCAAAACGCTCTGGAAGCTCATTAACATATTTTCCATACGCTCCAAGACATCATCGCAATCGTTTATTTGATTGTGCAAATTTGCTATGTTCTGAGATTCAGCTATATAGTCTGTTAATTAAGGGATAGATAATAAAACTTGTGTTTGCTTATGGAATGTAAGGGAGTAGTTTATTTACCCTCTATAGACTTGTTCTCCACCTCCTTGAACTCTTTTTCAATCTGCCGTGAATACTGGCGCAGATCTGTGGTGTTTTTCAGGATTTCCCGCACCTCCTCGTTGTCCAATTGTTCCGTCATCTGCGGCGACGGCACCTCGGCCATTGTGGCGTTGATTTGAGGGTAATTTTCCAATTGTTTTTCTCAATTACGAACAATAAAAGTATGTCATCAAAAATGCACAGGTAAAGCTTTGGCCAAAACAGCTGATATTGTTATCGATTTGTGCAGGCATTTTTCTGAGTGCCCTAAACAGTTAAAGTAGTGATAAATATCTTAGCTTGTTATAAATATAGCTATATATTTTTTATAGCAAGCTAAAATTTAAATTAATTAGCCAAAAATGTTATGTATTTATATTACAAAAATAATATATATTCTTTATACCTACATAAATTATATTTTTTTTAAATAAATATTGCTATGTTTACAGAAAAGAAGATTTTTTTAAAACAAGTATGTTTAATTTTTAAAATATGCAATTGTTCTCTTAACTGTTATTTTCAACTTTGTAATTCATAGATATACTTGGTAAAACAAACAAACTCTTATACCTACGAAAGATTTATTTTTGTAAAAGAGGCTTTGAGTTTGCTTTCGCTCAGAAAACTTTACTTATTTCCGATTCCATCAAATTATTAACCTTGCCAAAGGTTGTTACTTGCAATGAATTTAATTTATTTTCAATAAGAAGAACTCTTTAGCTTTTCTAGCGGTTTTAATTCGATAGAAGCTAAACTATCGCATCCACCTGCGCTTGCGAAAAAACAGCTGTACCGGGCTATCGATTATCCCGCCGAGTGGGTGCCCCTATTGGCAGCCATCGAAAGTAGAAGTTTACGCGAAGAAACACGGAGAAAAGAACAGAACGCAGAAAATAAAGGTTAGCCGAAGCGAAGATGACCAGTTTCCGTAAGCGCACCGTGCAGAAGCCGATCCGCGGCACCCGCACCTCGCCGCACACGGCCCAGGTGATCACCTCCAGCGGGAATCCGTATCTGGACGTGGTAATCGGCGGCGGCCTGCCCATGGGCTCCATCTGCCTGATCGAGGAGGATCGCTTCATGACGCACGCCAAGGTGCTGGCCAAGTACTTCCTGGCCGAGGGTGTGCTGTCCAAGCAGGAGATATTCCTGGGCAGCCTGGACGATCTGCCGGCGGAGATGTTGCGTCGTCTGCCCAAGCCGCTGACCGAACTGGAAACGGAGGTGGAGCAGCAGGAGGAACAGAAGGCGCAGGCCCAGGGTGGCGCTGGTGCTGGTGGTAGCGAGAATGGCCTAAGGATCGCCTGGCGGTACAACGATCTGCCGCTGGTTAACTCGGAGCATGCCACTGCCAAGATCGGTCATCATTTCAACCTGATGGAGCAGATGGACTCCATGATGCTCTACTATGCCAACACCACCATGTGGGACGACAACTACAAGGGTCTGGACCCTGTGGTCCTCTTCGAGAGTAGCTCCCCGACCCCCACGTCGCTGGAGCAGCAACCCGTGGAGGATGCCCCACCGATTCCGGGAGAGGAGAGCACTGCGCCGGAGATTAAGACCCAGCAGCCCCAGGAGGAGAGCTCCGCCAGCAACAACAATAATAATAACATAAACAATAACAGCAGCAGCGTCACGAGCAGCACAAAAACCGGCAGCCAGGAGTCGCAGTCGCAGGTCTTCCATAATGCCCGCTACGGAAACCTACTGAGCGACATCCAACATCTGCTGCGGGACGAGAGTTTCGTGGCCGGGACCAAGAAGAACCTGTGCCGCGTCTGCCTGACCTCGCTGGGATCGCCGCTGTGGTATGACGAGCACTTCGGCGAGGATCTGATCAAGTTCCTCACCCTGCTGATGGCCAGTGTGCGCAGCTGCAACTCGGTGTGCCTGATCACGATGCCCATGCACCTGATTGCCAAGTACGATGCCAGCCTGGTGCCCAAGATCCGCCAGCTGGTGGACTATGCCATCGAATTGGAGTCGTTTGCCGGCTCCGAACGCGAGACGCATCCCGCCTTCAAGGAGTACAGCGGTCTTCTCCATTTGCACAAGATGTCGGCCCTGAACACGCTGGCCGTCCACATGCCGGACACCACGGATCTGGCCTTCAAGTTGCGCCGCAAGAAGTTCGTCATCGAGAAGTTCCACCTGCCGCCGGAGCTGCAGGAGTCTTCGACCGCTGCAGCCGCCAAGCCGGACAGTTGCATCTCCGGTCTACTGAGCAATTCCAATGCCTCGGCCTCGCTGGATTTCTAGCTGTCAGCGGAATTAGAAACTAAGTGCGCGTATGTAACCACGAAACAACAACTAAATTGCATAATAATAAGCCAAGTAAATGCATTAATATATCAGCCCTGATTTTGTACCATTTTGAAAACTAACCGCTCTTTTGGATTTATCGTTTATCGATTGTGTGCAACAGCTGTTTGGTTATCGGCTTGTTCATTTTTATTGGGCACGGAGACGGGCGTAAAATGTAAACATGTCCGAGTTAAATCGTATTTTTAGTGATTTAAAAGTGTGCTATGTGCCGGATTTGCAGTGGGTTGATGTAGAGGAGTGGCTGTATGGCGAGGAAGCCGAGGATGATGTTCTGATGCAGCGGGCGCAGAAGTTCTGGTCCCTGGCCATGTGCAAACAGGATATTGGCTACCAGGAGTCGCAGCTGCAGTTGCTCCGGGACTTATCCGGCGTAATACGCTCCATGAGGGACGAGAACCAGGCCAGCTACAGTAACACCCACGACAATTGGGCCAATATCATCGGGATTTCCCCAGCAAACGCGTACCTTTCGTACATCTATTCCCTTGTGAGCCTGGCCATTCCGCCGGAGCACGTGCAGCAGGCTGCTCCGCGGGTTCTGAATGAAAACCTCAATCTCCAGCTATCCCTCAATGCTGTGAGCACCTATCTGTTAACCCTAACCATTCCGGGAGCCAAGAGCTATGGCATCTTCGATGAGGATGTGATCGAGCAAGTCCTCAAGATCTTCAAACTGCTGGAACTGAATGGCAACAAAAGCGTCCGTGCCAACACCATATGGATGTTCTTTCTGACCATCTGCGATGATCTTAAGCTGGTCTTTCGCTATGTGCACTTCAAGGACCATCTGAAACCACGGGACAGGATCATTCGCTGCCTCATGGAGGTGCTCTACATGAACTTTAAAGTGGGATATCAGAATTCATGTAAGTGTTGAATACTATATATTTATGTTTTATGTTTCCTATTTGGTGTCAGCCAAAGTAACTAAGATCATTAGCAACTATGGACTTTCCGCTTTATATTTAGTATTATTTTTATCATTAGTTACAATTATTATTATCTGTAGCTATCAAATTTGATTCCTGTTTGATATTTAGGGTTGGATAGCTTACTATCAATATACAAAGAGTTTTAACCGAAAAAAGGTTATTCTTCTAAATTAATATCCTTGAATTTTAAAATTCAAACCACTTTGTCTATCGGCTTATCGATATATCGATATATTCTAGTTTATTTTGAACAGCTGATAGAACTAGGTGTGTACACACTGCAGCACACTTAACGACCTGAAAGATTATACAAACAAGTGATAAAATAAATGAAAACCTTAAGGACATAGTCCCAAAATACAATAAATAAAAAGCGGAAGATGCTGCGCAGTATATTTGCACTCCGTGGGCAGTGCCATCAGCTGATGAGGAGCGCCATTCGGCAGCAAAATCCCGCGCAAAAGTCACATCAATTCTGGCGCATGAAATCCACCAATTCTCCGGAGGAAGCTGCTCGCAAACTACGGGCGAAATCCACACTATACTACATAACAGCCGGCGGAGTGCTGATCGTGGGCCTTAGCTATGCGGCAGTGCCACTATATAGCATCTTTTGCCAGGCCTACAGCTACGGAGGAACCACGTCGCAGGGTCACGATGCCGAAAAGGTGGAGCACATGCAAAAGGTCGAGGATCGGGTGCTGAAGATCCGCTTCAACGCCGATATTGGCTCCTCCATGCGCTGGAACTTTAAGCCGCAGCAGTACGAGATTAAGGTGGCACCCGGCGAAACTGCATTGGCTTTCTATACTGCCCGGAATCCCACGGACAAGCCGGTAATTGGCATCAGCACCTACAATGTGATCCCCTTCGAGGCGGGCGCCTATTTCAACAAGATCCAGTGCTTCTGCTTCGAGGAACAGCAACTGAATCCGCACGAGGAGGTGGACATGCCCGTATTCTTCTACATCGATCCGGAAATCACAGGCGATCCAGCGCTGGAGCACTGCGACACCATCACCCTGTCGTACACCTTCTTTGAGGCCAAGGAGGGCTTGAAACTCAACTTTCCCAGCTATGCAAAACCCCATGCAGCGACTGCGTAAACAGAATGTTGTTAAAACAATAAATCTTTGTTATATCTATCGTAAAATGTACGAGGCAATCCTTTGATCTGCTTGTTTTATTTAAATTGATTCTTGAAGTACCAACATACAAAATTTTACTGAAATGACTATTGTAAATTTAAATATTCTTTTAATTGCCTTTGTTCATTTGATAATTGTATGGAAAACTTCAAGAGCTTTATATTTGAATTTGAAACACAGTTTAATCAAGTACCGGGATAGTTTAAAATATGTTGTCAAATATAAAGTCGGCTTTTTAATAAGTTTAAAATATGCATTTTTATGAATTTTGTATGTTGTAAAAGATAAACCAAAGCAGAAAGTGGTTGTTTTCGGATAAACAAACAACAAATGGACTCCAACTATTAGTATCTTTAAATATGGAACTGAATTACAAGTAAAATATTAAAAAAGACAATATTAAAACTAAACGAATTCAAACCAAACCAAATCGATAACTGGCGATAACGCACCCGCACAGTTTGAGAGCCGCCACAGCTGACGCAGTTTGAGGGTCACTCCATCTGGAGCTGGAAAAGAAGGAGGCAGTTTATTAATAGATAAGGCCGATTCACTGATTCGCCGGCATCTTCCAAACAATTTGGACGCTTCCGCTGCTTCAGATAGTGCGTTGTGACCCCTTTGAACCCGGCGATGCGTTAAACTAATGACGTGGTCATGAAGAAACAAGTGATTTTCGGTCTGCTCCTGGCCAGCGTTTTGGTGTGCATTGCTGGACAGGATGAGGAGGATTACCAGGAGCCACCGACGGTACTGATTGCCCTGCTGGTGCGCAACAAGGCCCACACACTGCCCATGTTCCTGAGCTACCTGGACCAGCAGGATTATCCCAAGCAGAGGATTGCCTTTTGGTGGGTTTACCTATTATTCCATGGAATTGGGAATTAAACCCCTAATTTCGCCACATCTCAGGTTGCGTTGTGATCATAGCAATGATAACAGTATAGATATCCTGAGGAACTGGCTGGACAACTCGGCGGATCTCTATCAAAGTGTAAACTATGTTTTTGAGCCACAGCAGCGAAGTTATCTTAACGAGAGTTCACCGTACGAGTGGCCCGCATCGCGTTTCAAACACCTGATCGCCCTGAAAGAGGAGGCCTTCCAGTATGGACGCGAGATTTGGGCTGACTTCATGTTTTTCCTGGACGCCGATGTCTTGCTGACCTCGAAAGATGCACTGAAAACCCTCACCCGTCTCCAATTACCGATTGTGGCGCCCATGCTGATCTCGGAAAGCTTGTACTCGAATTTCTGGTGCGGAATGTCGGAGGATTACTACTACAGGCGCACGGATGAGTACAAGGAGATCTACCATGTGAAGAAGAAGGGCAGCTTCCCAGTGCCCATGGTGCACACAGCCGTTTTGGTGAACATGAACCATCGGGTGGTCAGGAGGGATCTCACCTTCGACAAGAGCAGGCTGGTGGAAATGCAGCGGAGCAGGCAGCAGGAGCCGCTCTACGAAGGACCAGCGGATGACATCATAGTATTTGCCATATCCGCCAATAGTTCGGGCATACCTCTGCACATCTGCAACGACATAAGCTTTGGCTATATACTGCAACCTCTGGAACCGGGTGATTCCTTGGACCATGACCTCCAGCAGCTGGTGAATCTGCGAGCCCTTATGGTCAACGATCTGGGAGGAGTGCCTCCTCTACTGGATTACTACAAGCACTTGGCCAAGAAACCGGAGAAAAGCAAGCTCTCCTTGGATCGCATATTTATGATTAACCTAAAGAGGCGACCCGAGAGGCGCGAGAAAATGGAGCAGCTTTTCGAGGAGCTGGGCATAGAAGCAGAGTACTTTCCGGCTGTCGATGGCAAGGAATTGACCACGGAGCGGCTGCAGGAGATGGGCGTGCGATTCCTGCCCGGCTACGAGGATCCCTATCACCATCGGGCCATGACAATGGGCGAAATCGGCTGTTTCCTGAGCCACTACAGCATTTGGGTGATGATGGTGCGCAAGGGACTCAACGAGGTGCTCATTCTGGAGGATGACATACGCTTCGAACCCTATTTCCGGCAAAATGCGGTCAGGTTCTTGAATCAGGCCAGAAGCGCTGTGCAATACGACCTCATTTACTTTGGTCGCAAGCGTTTGAAGGAGGAAAGTGAACCGGTTGTGGCGAATGCGGATAATCTGGTGCATGCCGGCTACTCCTACTGGACATTGGGCTATGTTCTTTCGCTACAGGGAGCCCTAAAGCTGCTGGCAGCCAAGCCGCTGGAAAAACTCATACCCGTGGATGAGTTCCTGCCCCTGATGTTCGATCGTCATCCAAACAAAACCTGGAGCCAAGCCTTTCCCAAGCGGAATCTCGTGGCTTTGAGTGCCTCTCCACTCCTGATGTATCCCATTTACTACACAGGAGACTCGAGCTACATTTCGGACACCGAGGATTCGCAGCAAATCAATGTGGACACGAGTGAAGAGGGAGAAGCGCGACTGAAAAGCGATCGTGAACAGGTTTTCGACCAGGCGGAGGAATGCACTCTCGATAAGCAACTAAAGCTGGGCGAGAGTTTGCCCAAGAGCCACCAGGAGCTGTAAATTCTGACCCCTTTCCAAAAACATAAAGCCAAATTTTGTCTACAATAAGTTAGGTGTATCTTGCCAAAAATGCCAAAAGTGCCTTCAACCCAAATCCACCAAGCTAAAAACTATCAACAACGAATGTTAAATTAGAACTAAGTTTTGTTTTTACCAGGCTGAAAAGTTTGTGCAATTTTTTTGGAATTATGAGTCTCATCGAAAATGTTCCTATATGACAAAGCTTCCAAATTAGAAAGATTCTTTTCTATAACACAATGATAGTAAGGTAAGATAATTGTTTTAAATGTTTGTAAGTAAAATGTATGATTTATCAAATAATGTATAGCTGCCAAAATTGTATGTTTTATAAAGCAATAGTTTCGCATACAATATTTTTTGTCTACAAAATTAATAATTTAGTCTAACTAAATTAACTAACTAAAAATTGGTAACTAAAATTGGTTTGAAAAGCAATACAATGTGTTTAAATGAAACAATTGCACAACTTGTAGGCCAAATGTAAACATTTTACCAGCATGCCATTGACCTAGCCATTAAGTAGGTTGTAAGCACTATGAACTCTCACTTTATTTCACTCACAAGTGATGATGAATAACTATAAAACACTTAAGATTTAATATCCACATTTATTGTCGTTGATCTACTGACCCATTGCGCCCCGCATGAACAAGTTTTTGATGGGCGGCAAGTTCTGCGTGAGCTGCAGTCCCAGACTCCTGAGCAAAACCACCGGGCTGAACTGCGTGGAGTAGAGGGTGTGCAGTCCATGGACGCCCAGCATGATGGGCACATTCTTGGTTAGACACTTGCGCTCGTACTTGATGAGATGCTGTTTGTCGCCCAGCTTGAAGCCAGCATAGGCTCCGGCTGCCAACGCCTCCACCAGGTACCTCACATCGCTGAAGCCCAGATTGACTCCTTGGCCGGCCAGGGGATGCACCCGATGGGCAGCGTCGCCCACCAGAGCTGCTCCATGGCAGACATACGACGAGGCATGCAGGAAGCCCAGTGGAAAGGTGGCACGGGACTTGTCCTGGACGCCACAAACCCTTGGCGGATACTGCACTTGATGCTGGCCAGCATTGTGACCGAACAGGGAGTTGAGAGCCTGCACAGCCTTGTCGGCCACATCCACGCGGGGATACTGCCTGCAGAAGGCTTCGTTGAGGGCATCCACAAACTCTGCCGGCGGCAGGGCTTGCAACTTTTTGGCCTGCTCGTTGGTGGTGCTCCAAACCAGGGAGCTCAGTCTATCCGTCAGCGGCAGCAGAGCCACCGGTCCGCTGGGCAGGAAGCGCTGCCAGGCCACCGAGTTATCACAGGCATCTTCGCCCAGCTCCAAGGTGGCCACCAGGCCCATCCTCTCGTAGTTCAGCTGGAAGACATCCACGTTCATCTCCTTGCGCACAACAGAGTTGGCGCCATCGGCTCCTATGAGCAGATCGCAGGAAAAGGAGCGTCCATCCTGCAGCTGCAGCTCGGAGAGATGGCCACCAGAGTCCTTGGGCAAGCGGACGCATTGGATGCGGGCCTTGTTCAATATCTCCACATTGGGAGCTTCCTTGACCCTCGCATAGACCGCATCCAGGATCAGATCGTTCTCAATGATGCAGGCCACATCGCTGGCAAAGTTATCGTGCTGGAACTGGATCAGTGCATCCGTGTTGGACTCCCACACCTGCATCTGCTTGACGGGCTTGTACCGGGCGGCCTCGATGTGCGACCAGGCGTCTATGGCCTTAAACAGCTCAATGGAGTTCTTGTTGATGGCGGATACTCTATTTTGGTACGGTCCAGTGGGATCGAATCCCCGGAATTCCGGAGCTCCCTCCAGCAGCAGCACCTTTTTGTCCGCCAGCGTGGAATTCTTGGCCAGGGCGGCGGCCAATGTGGTGCCCACCAGTCCTCCGCCGCCAATGATTATATCAAAATGCTCCGCTGCCGGCGATTTGGATGATTCGCATCTGTTTGTGGTCATGTCAGTGGAGGATTTGCTGGCCAGCAGGCGGGCGGACAGGAGGCGCACCTGTCCCGCTCCTTGGATCCGCAGTACGCCCAACATCTTCTGGAATTGCAATAGTTATTCGTCGTTCCACAATTATTTAATTATTTTGCTTGCCTTTGCGTAGAGGTGCAACAAAAAACGATTATGTTGCCTATCGATATGCTAAAGTAGCTACTTTTTTTGGGCTGGCAACATTGCAGTTTCAGGTTATCGATTTCTTAGCTTTTTTTTGTAACGTGTTTTTAAATTTTGAAACATGTTTATATCTTAATGTGTAAATATGTTTTTTTTTAATAAAACTTGTACTAACTTCGTATTTTGTAAGCTGTTTTTATACTTTTTTAATATTAATATTGTTTGAAAATCATTTATCTACTTAGTGAACCAGCAAATTTCCTTTTTTTTAGGTGCTCCCGCTTTGCACCTTAAATGCTATGAGCTTTTTGGGGAAATAGCCAACGAGCATAATGGCGATGTCTATGAAACTCTTCATCTGATAATGCGGCAGACATTTCCCATGCATGTTTACACGGATAGTCCGCACAGCATTGGAGCAGGACGTCGAGGAGGAGCGATGCAGAGCGGGGAGCACATTTCGGATTGGTTTATCCACCTTATAGATAAGTATCCCGACATTCTAATCCGAATATTGCATTTCTACATTGAGTGTGTGGTCACCAACCCAATTAGAGCGGTAAGCACCCTATAAATAATATTTATAGTAATATAAACTCAAATAATATTTTATTTTTAGTGGAAAAGCACTGATGAGAAGGTGGCCATAGGATATGCGGCCAAATACGACAGGATTCTGTACGCCAAGTGCAATAAATCCTGTGTAGACTTTGTCCTCGATGCTGTGAAGGCAGACGATGCTGTGGGCATTCAAACCAGAGCCTTGGATTTAATTGAGAAGATCCTCATGCAGCAAAGCGAGGTGGAGTGGAGCATTTTCCGGTACGACGTGTCCAAGGTGCCAAGGGAAGTGTTCCTTCTAAAGGAGGTAATGCGAAGCCTCAATGATCGAACATTTACCGTCCGCCGGAAGGCCTGCCAAGTGCTCATCCTGGCCCTGAAACAAGGCTCTCCGCTGACCACAAAAATCCTAGACGAGTGTATTCGATTCGTTCAGTTCGAGGATGCGGGTGTGGAATCACTACAAGAGCCTTCGGTGGAGCAAAACGAGCTGCGTTTCGAGAAGCCCGGCATTGTTCAGTATGCCTTCAGCTTCGAGGGTCACGAGGAGTTGGAGGAAGAGGTCAAGAATGTCCCCCAAACGGTGTACCAGCGATTTCTGGCCGCAGACAATGGCTTGGCACGAACTGCTGGCATAGCTCTGCTCGAAAGATTGGTGCTGGTCAACCCGCTGATCATCTACAATACGAATTTCGTGAGGGAAACCTCTTTGTTGGCTGTGGATCGGTTGGCTTCGGTGAGGAAATCTGCCCTGGATACCATGGAAACTTTGCTGGAGGCGTACTCCAATTGCTTCGCCTTGATTTGTGTGTACTGCCGGATTTGGGCTTGCTTGATGAGCGATGTGGATGCGGCCCTGCAGAAGGTGGCCTTAATGGTGGGTCATTATCCATAGGCATTTATGCATCATTTACTTAATTTAGCTTTCCATTTTAAGAGCTTTGATCGCATGGTTTTGAAGAATATTCAGCCCCTGGAGTATTCAAACGAAGCCAAACACTTTATGCCCTGGCGAATCATCAGTACTCTTCTGATGACACAACCTAGACCTTATTTGCAAGAAAGATTTTCCGTACTATTGGAAGGGGAAACTATTGTGACGTATGTGGCACATTTGCATTTTAGCAGATTTTAAAATACTTCAGTTTTTAGACCCACACTGGTGAACACCATAATTTCGCATTTATCCACCTCGATGGCCACCGATGCGTGGGGACTGCTGCTGCTCCTGTCCAGCCGCATCACCAACAATATGGACGCACTGATTGGCATCTTCAATGGTCTCTCCTCTTACAACATGAAGTCCAATCAATTTCTGGCCCTGCAGCTCATCATCGGCTGCCTGGGGAACTTCTCCAAGTCAGCCTTGAATCAGTTGTTTCAGAGGCTTCTGAATGCCCTGCGCACGGGCAGCATTTGGCTGGGCCTCATCTCGAGTGCCGTCAATCTGCTCAACCAGATCCACCACTTGTCCGCCAGCCAGGATCCTGCGATGGCTGCCGAGACGCCAGACTGGCAGCTCAACCTGCTGGAAGATCTCACCCAGGGAATCCTGAGCAGTGCCCAGAATTTCCAGGATGAACACATCCGCCTGCAGTGCCTTTTGGGCGCCTACACGGAGATCATTGTGATGCTGCCCATGGAGGTGGACGAACGGATTTTGAGGATTGTGATCGACTACCTGACCGAATGCAGCAAACTCAACGAGTCCGAATTCGATACGGATAACGAGCGCATGACCAACTGGATGATTGTGATATCGGGTCGTTTGTGTCTGAGGGACTACAATATGGCCAAAAACGTATCCAAGCTGTACAGCACCATTCTGACGAAAAACGACAGGCCGCAGATCATCAACACCACAATGATAGCCCTAAACGATCTGGGCCAAAAGCATCCCACGATTCTGGAAATCAATTTCCAGGATATTGCCTCGAAACTCCATTCGCAATTCGCCATGACCAGAGTGCGCACCTTTCGGTGTGTGAAGGACGTGATGCTCTCGGGGAACATCAAGCTAAAGGGTCCCATTCTCATATCCATGCTGGCTGGTCTGCTGGACGAAAGTGCCGAGGTGGCCAGGGAAGCGGACGCCTTCTTCATTCGCTACAAAAGGCTGTACGACAAAAAGTTGTTTGCTCATTGCCTCAACGAGTGTCCTTTCGACCTCAATGGTCTTGCTTCTTTGAGGGGTGGAACGCCGAATGACAACTACAAATCGCCACTCGAAGGTCCGGGAATGGCCAAAAGTCGTCGACTGCTTTACAATCACATCATGGCCTCGCTGGATGAGAACACGCTCTTGCTTTACTTTGGCAAACTGAAGAAGCTGGCAGGTATGCTTACAGTTTTAAACTAAATCTATTTTATGAGTATAATGAATAAAACCATTTAATTTGTATTTTAGAAAATACCAAAAACAACGCTTTTGTCAGTACTCCTGGCTCCTTGGCCGTGGTTCAGGATATCCTCTTCATCATGCGTCGCATTTGCTTTCACACCAAGGGAAACAACAAGGAAACAGGCGATGAGGGTGCAGAGGAGCCGGCGGAGGCCCCTGCTCCACCACCCAGACCAGCAGCAGGCGAGGCACCGGCTCCAACTAGGGAAAGGGGACGAAAGGCACAGTCCTCCGAGGAGCCTGTAAGTTTTTATTTGGTATTTTTTTGGGTATTATATCACACTCTAAATTTCAATAGTCTTAAACAACCAGATTAAAAACTCTACTAAACACACTTTTAGCTACATTTTTGAAAGAAATTCGATTGAAAAATTTTTTTAACGATCTCAACATTGTATTACATTTTGACCATTACTTTTTAAAGTTTTGATAAATTCACAATTTTCCAAGATGTTTTTTGAGTTTTTGAAGTTTTGTAAAAATATAAGTATATGATAAGATAGATTTGATAAGGGGTAGTTACATCAACAAATTTTTTGCAAAAATGTCAAAATTTAATTAAAAATTTTTAGCTGTGAATGCCATTTGATTAAACATTATATGGCGAGTTCTACGATGTATGACAATCCAACTTTTGACAACCGATTTTTTAAAAGTGTTTTCTTTTAAATAATTTTTGTCTAAAATTTGCAAATTTAAATATTTAGCTGAAAAGTTGTAATTGCATATTTTTTATGTTACAGCTCAAACAATTGGAACAATGTCTCAGATATGTGGAGGAATCTTATGGACATCTCAAGTCCGTGATGAATTCCGAGCTTAGGCACAGTTTTGAAAGCTTCTGCCGAGCTCTGGCGATGAGATTTCCAAAACTCATTGCTTTTGCCCAGCCGGCACAGTTCTGGCAGAAGTATCGCTCCACAGGAACGCAGAAAGGGAGCAAAAGAAAGCGACGACGCGCGGACGAGGATGCGGAAGACGATTCAGATGAGGATCAGCAGTTGGATAGCGACAGCGACAATGAGATGCCGCTGGAGCGGCACAAATCCACGCCAGTTGTGTCGCAAACGCCCCAAAAGAAAACGAGCTGCGACATGCTGGTTACAGAGCTTATTTTCCAGCCACCAGATTGGTAGATCTCGAAAAGATTTCTGGCTTTTGCCAGGATGAATTGGTTGCATTTTTCTATAATACAAAAGAATTTTGTAAATATTTTGTTCTATAACTCGAATAATGAATGTATTACAAGTCCAGGTGATAATATTATAAAGTATAGGCATGTTAATAAACAAATATACATATCTTCAAACGGATATAATTGCATGAAAGTTTTCTATAACCATATCCTTCCAATCTGACAAATTATATTTTATAAAATTCTTTATACCTTATACGATTATTTTGCAATAGAATATGAAATGGAATTGTTAAAATCAATTTAAGTTCAGAGTTTGGAATTTACTTCTTACTTTCTTCACTTTTATTTTTTGTTTGTGGCTATGAAAAATTAAACCAAGAAATCTTTTTATTTGTTAGCCAATAATTAGACAATAAATAATCATTTTTTAAACCAAAATTAATATTGAATTTTAATAGTCGTTTTAATTAAAGAAATTAGTGTTTAATACGAAACACTTAAAAATAATCTCTATTATATTCACAGATTTTTTCCAAGATCCCCTTGTAACTGCGCACGAATTCGGCAAGGACCAACTGGCCCACTTGGAGCTCATTTAAGCCCATCTGCTCGGCTTCCGTGGCCTGGATGAGCAGGCATTCCAGCACAGCAGCATTGACCGGCTGAACAAAGAGGTTACGCTCCCTGCGTTCATCCTGCCGGACTGGAATAATGGGAGGTGCGGGTACGGAATCCACCGGAGGCTTTGTTACACTGCTTGGAGTGGTGCCCGTTGCCAGGGGACGGGGAGCACTGATGGCAATGGGGGGAACAGGAATCGTCTGTTGGCTGGCCACAACGCCAAAGGGTATGGCGGCCACAGGTTTGCCGGCTATTCCAGCTGTCGATCCGCCAGCCTGCAGACCCTTCATCGGCACACTGATGCCCGCCTTGGCAGCCGCAGCTGCTGCCTTGGCACTCATTGCATTCGCCTTTTCCCTCTTCGTGGCACTCGAATTCTTGGACCCAGTACTGGCGTCCACGACCTTACGAACCTCCGTGTTCCGGCAACCTAAAAAAAAAATTATAAAACTATAGATCATCCTAAAAATGTCCACCGCTGTTCCATATAATCTAGCCTTTGAAACCCCTTTCTTCTTTAAAACTCACCAACGCAGCGACATAACTTGGAGCAAATGGCCATGGATTGATAGCAATCGCAGTAGTTCTTGATGCACTGCGACCGTTTGCAACAGCATCCTTTCAAGCCATTTGGTCCCTGACCCCTGGCTCTTTTTCCTTCCGGAGTTTTGCCTTTCGGAGTGCTCATGATTACTTGTTAGTCTCTATCTAAGAATGAAATTATAAAACTATTTATGACAGCTATTTTCACCTGTCAAACGTAACAGATGACTTAAAAGATGATGTGCATGCTAACATGGGAGTGTTGAAAAAATAAATGTTTCAAATTACCTACCTCTGATTTCTCAGTTCAAACCAATACTAAACCTTAAAATGATACCCATAATAAAACACTTATGCTTTGGCACTAAACTATTAAAGCTTAGATAAAGTATTCGTATATTGTACTCGTAATAAAGTTAAAATTTTGTAAGTACCAATCGTTTAACAAGTGTTTAGTTTATATATCCGTTATAACATAGATAATTTCCTTTGGTGTCTACATAATATGGCATGGCATTAAGTTATGATATTGTTCTTCTCTATATACTACAATAATTGAAAGCTAGTATAGATTTAATAAAAAAGTATGTCTGACTCTAGAATTACTTGTAATTGATATCAATTTTAATTGCTTTCATTTGCGTTTTACTATTTTGTCGAGTGTTTTGGCAAGAAATTTACTAGTATTCCATAGTTGTGTTTTTTTTGGAATTGTTAATTGGCTTTAAGTATATATTTTGTTTAGTTTTCATGCACAACCTTTTGACAGAATATAGTTACATTAATTTCTTGCGAAAGAACTCGACATGTAATTGTCATTCCCCTTGATGTTTCGAATTAATCTGAGTTATTAAAAATATCACTATCAAAACGATATATATGTAGTGTATATATATGTGTGTGCAGCAGAAGACTCGTTAACAGTTCAAAAGTAATTGTGTGGCCTGCAATTGTTGCTATTGCTTCTAAAGTAACTAGGATTATCATTTCGTCATGGAAGTTGCGCATGCGCCTAGCAAATTGTCCCATTCAAGAGCTCGTAGCAATTTTGTGGAGATGCCGCAGAAGCTGCCGCCGCCGCCTCCTGGCGCGTCTTCACAAAATTCCCCACCCAATGGGCTGTGAGATCTAGGTATTTGGTTCTTGAGCCGGGATTGTAGTCCAGGAAGCCGGCCCGTGGCATCACCTCCTCGATTTGGCTGCCATCCGGCCAGTTGTTGTAGCTGGCTATGTTTATGAAGCCCACATGGTTCAGGATGGCCGTCCGCCAGGCCACTCCATAGTACTAAACATTTGCGATTTATCATCATTAGTTAAACTTCCTATTAGTTTACTATAATGTTGTGCTTACCCTTCCATTGCTGCGATGCCTTTGAATGTCTCCATGGCGCGGGAACTTGTTCCTCTCCGCAAATCCCGGACCCACAGTGGGCACAAAGAGCATTTTGTAGGACAATGCAAACGACTTCAGATACGACCAGTTCTTCCAGGTGCTGGCGAAGACCGCTCCATTGCTTGGCAGTTTGCTGTAGAAGCCATCGAAACACAACCGCCGCAAAACATCTGCATGGCTTTTAAGCCTATTGGATAAACAACAAATAATAATATGTAAAAATAATTGTAATCTTAATCAAAAAAACATTTTGGTAGTTTTTGTATTAAAAACTATTGAAAAATTATGTTAAAATAAATTAACTACGTATGTCTTTTCTTTGATTTTTTCTTGCATTGAAATAATCAATAGATTTACCTAAATAACTCCATAAACAATTTTTTTTGATTTGAAATTTGAACAACATATTATTTAACTACCATAAAAAAAGTCCTTAACATCCTTTAATATATATAAAAAATAAAATTTGTAAAATTTTAAAGTTAAAACTAGTGGTTTTTCCATTAGGCTTGCCCACCTTATATGTCCTATGAAGAAGGCATCCAGAACCCTGCGCAGTCCATCCGGTTCCACCAGCGAAGGCGTTCGGCAGAGCAGCCTGCCCAGACTATCACTCAACTTGTAGGCATTGCTGACGTAGAGAACTGGCAGGGAGACTCCTCTCGACTGACTCCATACCCTGTAGAATCCGGGCAGGCTGGAGTAGGTGGCAATCTCGTGCAGCTGCTGCCGCACAAACTCCACGCTCTGATTCCCGGCCACACTCAGTTCAAAGGTCACGCTGAGGTTGTGCTGCGGAGCCAGTTCCAGGATCTGATGCAGGAGCGCCGTTTCCGCCGGCTTGCCACCCGTAAAGCTCAGGATGAGCACTCCTATGCCACAGCTGCGGATGTTCTCAAAGTGCTGGGAGAGCAGCGAAGAGCTGGGCTTGTACAGACCCAGTGCCGGATAGAAGGCCGTGTTGAGAATCCGCACTGGGCGCGGAGTTGTGAGCGGCACATCGTTCGGATGCTCCGCCGGCGGCGGAGGTGGCTTCTTCGACTTGTACCAGGGCACTGGGGCTGTGTAGAAAATGTGCACTGCTGATATCACCACATCCAAAGTGGTTCTGGCCTGAAAACATTAAGGAAAATGTAAAAGAAAATCCCTTAGTTTAATTTAAATTATATCATATGCATATTTTTGGTTAAATTTCAAAATTCCTATTTATTTATCAAACTAAAAATGGTTTAATATTTAAGAAATCCAAAAGCTGTTATTTTAAATGTGTTACAGAAACACAATCGATTTTTTAGGAAAAAATTTATTTAGGTTTTTTATATTGTCCTTATTCAAGATTTATATTAAAACTTATAAGACAATCCTATTTTCAAATTTATTTAAGAAATACAAACTATTTCTTTGTATTGTAATGGCAACAACATTAATGTAAAATGTTTAATATAAGTATTATATATTTATGTAATTCTATAACTAAACCACAGAATGATACTAAGTTTAATAACTTGAAACAGTACCAACGAGAATTTTGCTAAAATCAGTCCATCAAAATCAATTCCTTTAAAAAGACTAACTAATCCATCATATTTAAAATTGTTCTCTTTAAATAAAGTTATATTTTTACCGTAATTGCTAGTTAACTTTTAGTTTTGAACCTTTAACTAGCTTTGTATAACTAAATATATCTTAAAATCTATTTGCATATTACCGCCTGGTCGGCATCGTGGTCCCGCTGCTGCTGCTGCTTCATCAGATCTATTTTGCTCTGGATGATGCGCTCCTTGATCTTCTGCTCGTCGTACTTCTCGGGCACAATCACTCCGTTCTCCCGCTGGGGCTGGAGCAGGGCCACGGCCACCGCCGGTTGGGGCTTCTCCGGCGTCTGGTCCCCGGGTCCTCTGTAGGCCCGTGCGATGAAGCGCTCGTCGAGCAGCAGTTCGATGGCCGCATTGCGTCCGCTGGAGCCGAGCACTATGATGGTGATGACCAGCAGACCCACGATGGCCAGCAGGAGAAGGATCTTCACCTTACGCCGCGTTTTCACATACTTTTTCAGCAGCATTTTCGCACGCGTGCATTTTCTCACATTGTTTGGTCGTTGGCTTTCCTTTTTGTTTTTCGCCTCCTGTTTTTCCGTCCTCGCTGGGCAACCCCTACGACCCCTTGCCCTTCCTGTCGCAATGCAGTTGCCGGAAGCTCCAGGCCATTGCGCATGTCCTGAAACGGACACACTAAACTATTCCGGGCTGTTCCGGATACCTAAATCTCCATTAAAACAACCAAATAAGATTAAAAACTTCTTAGCTTTTGTTAGGCGGTTGTGTTACTTTTATTGCGAGATGTTTTATTAAAACTTACATATTTTTGGTCTTAAAGTTATTTGCATTGACTTCTGTTTCAAAACTCCAATGGGAAACGAAATATAATGTATTTCACATAAAAGGTGAAGCAATAGATCTATTCCAATCCCAAAATAAATGCATTACATATTCACTCACTTTTGTACGTCAACACATTGTCTGAATATTTGTTTTATTTAGTTATAAAGTAGAGTTTTATAAAAGGTTTTAGTTTTGTATCTATTTGAAGTGCATTTCTTTTTCTTACGGAGTCCCATGCACATTCGATTCTCAGCGTCCCTCAACTGGAAAGTAAAAGTGAAACAAATTAGTAGTGCGCAGGAAGTGGAGACTACACTCTAACTTACTATATGTGGACAGATCAATCTCCTCCGGCAGCTCGCTGATGTTCACATCGAAACGATCCTGTACTTCGTTAAGTATCTTGGCATCGTTCTCGTCCGAAACAAAGGTAATGGCCAATCCCTTGGTACCGAAGCGACCGGCGCGGGCCACGCGATGCAAGTAGGTGTCGGAATCCTCGGGCATATCGTAGTTGAACACAATGTTCACTCGCTCAATGTCCATGCCGCGACCAAAGAGATTGGTGGCCACCAAAATGCGCTTCTGGAAGTCCTTGAACTGCTGGTAGCGATTCAGACGCTCCTCCTGGGTCATGCCGCGATGGATGCCGATGGCGGGGAAGTTTTGCTCCGTCAGCAGCTGGGACAAGGCCACGCAACGTTGTACAGACTTCACAAAGATGACCACCTTAAGGAAGGACATTTTAAACAATTTCCAAGGATTAAATATGAGAATTACATACCTGATTAAACTCAAGCACGTCGAGCAGTTCGAACAGCTTCTTGTTCTTCTCGTTCTCCTTCAGATTGACGTAGTGCTGCTGCAGTCCGTGCAGCGTCAGCTTGGCCTCATCGTCGACGTACACCTCCATGGGCTAGATATCGGAAAATGAAATGTGGCGCATTTTAAAGGGAACAATTAAGAGGGGTAAACGGAAATCGAACTAAGACTAGGCTCGCCTCGGAACATACAACAATATGCTTAGAATTTTCTACATACGGCCACGCTACCACCACATCTCATCAACTAGACTCTGAACTGCTCCCGAGGATCGACGATCGCTCTGAGAAGTGTGCGGATTACAGATGAGCGGCATATCGCATCGCATTCGCTTTGGATTCACCTTGTCTCATCGGCCGGTCGGCGGGATTTGCTGTTTTTCGTTGTTTTATTTGGGTATTGCATTTTCCTATCGATGTTTTTTGTTAAATCATTGCGATTTCAATTGATTTCTTCACCGGTTACTGGTTGTTTATGCTTTCGCTACGGTTGCTTTTCACGCGTTTAACCATTTAGAAAATGGTTTCTGGCAGTTATCAACTAACAATTTCGATTCGAGTTATGCTCGCAGAGCGCTGGACGATTGGGTTTACGCGTTTAACCATTTGCAAGATGGTGGTTGGCTTATATGGGGGATCGAGATCGAGATCAAGAATTCGATATCGGGTGGCGTTAACAAAATAATAACTAATTGTCGTGATAGCGGTGGATGCGAGGTGGAGAAGTACGAGCATTTTGGTTATGAACACGTTGATATTTACATCTTGCATGAACTTTTTGCAAACGGGACGAATGTCCTTGCTCAATGTGGCAGAGAACATCATCACTTGTTTGCCGTGCGGTGTGCTACGGAAAATCTCTTGAACGTCACGACGCATATCTAAAAAGATGTGATTCGTAATTAGCAAAGAGTCGATGGTTTTGCTCACATATAGCCGACTTACCCAGCTGCTCCAGCATCTTGTCGCACTCGTCCAGAACAAAGTGCTTCAAATGCTTCAGATTGAGTTTCTTGTTGCGAATCAAGGCCAGAATTCGTCCAGGAGTGCCCACCACAATGTGCGGGGTACCGCTTTTGAGGGTCTCCTCATCCTTTTGAATTGCCAGTCCTCCAAAGAACACAGCAACCTAGAAGAAAATCAAACTTATTAGGTTAATTTACTGAAAGCCAGGTTACTTCTTAGGATTAACCCTTTTCGCAATGATTGGTAAAGGTAAGCTATAAATTTCATAAATTTGTGAAACAAAAACTATGTATAAATTCTCCTTAATTTCATACAACTTGTGCAGGTATCAGGAGAATAAAAATGTACATATTGCTTAAATTACAGACTATAGATTGTAGACCCACCTTGACTGTGGGCATGTACTTGGAGAAGCGCTCATACTCCTTGCTGATCTGGAAGGCCAGCTCGCGGGTGTGGCACATGACCAGGACGTGGCAGGTGTTGTTATCGGAGGGCTCCAGCTGCTGCAGAGTGGCCAGGACGAAGACGGCGGTCTTACCCATGCCGGACTTGGCCTGGCAGAGGATATCCATGCCCAGGACAGCCTGCGGAATGCACTCGTGCTGGACTGCAAGACAATTAGGAATAAGTTATAGACTGTACCTTTGATACTTATTAAGTAGTACTCACCCTCCGAGGGATGCTCAAAACCGCAGTCTACGATAGCTCGAAGGATCTCCGGTTTCAGAAGGAAATCGCGGAATCCGGAACTGTGTATGGACACATAAGTGCCCTTGACGTCCTTCTTGGGCGCCTCCTGGTTCTCAACCGCAGTGGTCTCGGTCTGCTCCTCATCCTCGTAGTCCAAAAGATCGTCGTTGTCTGCCATTTCGACTTTGTTTATTTTTATCTAGACTCTGGACTGAAAGAACGAATCTAAATGCTGCGGGGGAAAAAAACGCGAGCAGGTTTGTAAGTTACATGTGATTGTGATGTGTAAAAGAAAATGCCGCTTTTTTTTTTGCGGAACCGGTGCCGGCGTACCCTCCGCCATCTTGTTTTTTCACCACACCGCATTCCATGTATTTCAAAGTAAAACGAAATATCCACCTGAAGCGCTTATTTTTTTAAGTGAAGAGGGTTTTTCCAAGTTTGACATACCTTGTGCGTACGTGGTCTGCTTTAATAATAATTTTAAAGCGATTTTAACTATTAAAAAACTTTAACGTGACGCGGAGCAAAAAAACAGAGCAGTGTGACCGCTGCTAAAATATTTGGCTATCCCACTAGGGCTCAAACAATATACTTTATACTTACTTAAATATACTAAGTACTTAAATATTTTCTGTAATCTATAATCTGAAAGTTTGGTCACACCAGCTAACACTTAAAGTAATCGATTGTTACTGCCGATGTATCATCTCTATAATAATCGCAACAATTCCCGATTACAACTTTCAGCGTCGGCCGCGTTTTATTGCAGCGAAATATTTAATTTTCCAATTTGTGCTCTTCCGTTCTTTACCAAAACACAGGTGAGTTTCGTTGCTGCCAGTAAACAATAAGAGATTGTAAAAAGCAATGCAATATAACTAATTAAAAGCCGATGAAAAGTGGCGGTGTAGTTTCACTCAGAATCGAAATAACCCCCCTGCCTGCAGCTGCATGAAAATGCCGCAAATATTGAATGAAAACCGCCATATTGTGCAATTTCCACGAGCTTATCAAATCGGTTAAAGAGAGTCGCGTGGATTAGTTAGGCAGCGCGATTGATTAAATTCGTATTAGCCCCGCCTAGTGGCCCCACGCCCATAAACAAACGCCGACAAACTTTTTTTTTCCTCGTCCGCTTTAGTACAGTCGCTTGAGTGGAAAGTGGCGTACGTGTGTGTGTGTGCGTGAGAGCGCGAGAAACTCGTTTGCTTCTGTTTTTGAGCGTTTTGTGCGTTTCCCCTTTTCGTTTTCGATTTCTGTTTGGAATTTTATCAGGGCGCAAAAATAACATACTTACACAGAAAGAAAATTTGAATGTGTAAATGTGTTTTGATTTAGCAAGTCATATTGGTTTAGAATATTGTCATTTTATTTAATTACAATTTGGAAGAGAATTGCTGACTTCGGCTTTTAACCCATGAATTATGCCGTGTTATATGAAAAAAATGTGAAAATCATCTAGATTAAATTTACTAGTTTTATAAAGTGTCAATAACTTGCAGGGTTGCCAACATTAATTTTAATTCAACAACTCTAAATTAAAAAAAAGGTAGCCTGCTTGATTTGAAAAAAAATTGACATCTTTCAACCTTGTTTTTTTCTGTGTTGCCTTAAAGAGGTCGTAGCCAAAAAAAAGCTCACGTGTTATTCTGTGTATTTATCTGTTTCGCAGCGTGAACATGTCGAGCAAATCCCGACGTGCTGGCACCGCCACGCCGCAGCCCGGCAGCACCTCCACCCCAAGGGCGCCATCGGCGGGTCCGCAGCAGCATCACCAGCAGCCGCCACCACCCACCCACTCCCAGTCGGCCTCCAGCCCCCTGAGTCCCACCCGCCACTCCCGCGTGGCCGAGAAGGTCGAGCTGCAGAACCTTAACGACCGCCTGGCCACCTATATCGATCGTGTGCGCAATCTGGAGTCGGAGAACTCCCGCCTCAGCATCGAGGTGCAGACCACCAGGGACACCGTCACTCGCGAGACCACCAACATCAAGAACATCTTCGAGGCCGAACTGCTGGAGACTCGCCGTCTCCTGGACGACACGGCTCGGGATCGGGCTCGTGGCGAGATCGACATCAAGCGCCTGTGGGAGGAGAACGAGGAGCTGAAGACCCGTCTGGACAAGAAGACCAAGGAGTGCAGCACTGCTGAGGGTAAGTGGTCCATCTATATAGTGATGAAGAAATAAAAGCCAAGGTCTTCAGAAATAAACATATTGGCCAACACCAAAAAATAAGACAGTACATATATTTTAGCATTTACATTTGAAAACACATTCACAATTGGATTTCAACAGAGCAGTCATGTTTTGCAATAAAATCCAATTTTTTAAAGTGAAATTTAAAATTATATCACATTCTTAGTCAGACTAATTTACTTGGTGAATGTGAGCATTTATATAAACAACTTTAAAAGTTAAAAGTGGAGATAAGGGTTTAAACATAAAGAAGTTTTTCAGTAGATTTATTGCTTCAGTTCATGTGAATACTGTAAGAATTGATCATCCCCTATGATCCTCAGTGGCAGTGATCGCGAACCCACCCTATTCTTCATCCAATTTAAGCCGAACCCCATACTAATTGATTGATTTTCGCACCCCGCAGGCAATTCCCGCATGTACGAGTCGCGTGCCAATGAGCTGAACAACAAATTCAATCAGGCCAATGCCGATCGCAAGAAGGCCAGTGACGAGCTGAACGAGGCGCTCAAGGAGCTGGAGCGTCTGCGCAAGCAGTTTGACGAGACACGCAAGAACCTGGAGCAGGAGACTCTGTCGCGTGTGGATCTGGAGAACACCATCCAGAGTCTGCGCGAGGAGCTCTCCTTCAAGGATCAGATCCATTCGCAGGAGATCAACGAGTCGCGCCGCATTCGCCAGACGGAGTACAGTGAGATCGATGGACGCCTCAGCTCCGAGTACGATGCCAAGCTGAAGCAGTCGCTGCAGGAGCTGCGCGCCCAGTACGAGGAGCAGATGCGCATCAATCGCGACGACATCGAGTCGCTGTACGAGGACAAGATCCGTCGCTTGCAAGAGGCCGCCGCACGCACCTCCAATTCCACGCACAAGTCCATCGAAGAGTTGCGCTCCACTCGCGTCCGCATCGACGGTCTCAATGCCAAGATCAACGATCTGGAGCAGACCAATGCCATCCTGAATGTGCGCATCCGCGAACTGGAGCAGCAGCTGGACAATGATCGCGAGCGCCATGGCCAAGAAATCGCTCTGCTCGAGAAGGAGCTGATCCGTCTGCGCGAGGAGATGACCCAGCAGCTGCAGGAGTACCAGGACCTCATGGACATTAAGGTGCGTTCAGACACCATTCGTTTGTCTATGTATTTTATACTAAATTCTTATTTTCCTGATCAGGTCTCCCTGGATTTGGAAATCGCTGCCTACGACAAGCTGCTGGTCGGCGAGGAGGCGCGCCTGAACATCACCCCAGCCGCCAACACGGCCACCGTGCAGTCCTTCAGCCAGTCGCTGCGCAGCTCCACCCGTGCCACGCCCTCCCGTCGCACGCCCTCCGGCGCCGTGAAGCGCAAACGTGCCGTAGTCGATGAGTCTGAGGATCGCAGCGTTTCGGACTATTATGTGTCGGCCAGTGCCAAGGGCAACGTGGAGATTAAGGAGATCGATCCCGAGGGCAAGTTCGTGAAGCTCTACAACAAGGGCAGCGACGAGGTGGCCATCGGCGGCTGGCAGCTGCAGCGGCTGATCAACGAGGGCGGTCCGTCGACCACCTACAAGTTCCATCGCTCCGTGAAGATCGAGCCGAATGCCGTGGTGACCGTTTGGTCGGCCGACACCAAGGCTACGCACGAGCCGCCATCGAGTTTGGTGATGAAGTCGCAGAAGTGGGTCGCCGCCGACAACACCAGGACGATTCTGTTGAACGGCGATGGCGAGGCTGTGGCCACTCTGGATCGCATCAAACGCGTGGTGTCGTCGCACACATCCTCCTCCCGTCTGAGTCGCCGGCGCAGCGTGAGCGCCGTGGATGGCAACGAGCAGCTCTACCACCAGCAGGGCGATCCCCAGCAGACCGGCGAGAAGTGCGCCATTATGTAATATCTCAACTCTCACGCAAAACAATGCTTTCTGAACCAGACAAGCAAACAAATAACAACATACGGAAAGCATATAAAAACGAACCCACAACACAACGCAGAGGTACAGAGATTTATTAAACAAACTAAGTTATTTTTTGTGGCCGCAACGCCAGTAATTTAATCAAAAATCATTTGTGTAGATCTGCTTAAGCAGCTAAGCGAGAATCTTCGTTTCGTCTACTTTCGTTTCTGTTCTCTCTTCCCAATCTAACCCTAACCTACACCAAGATAACTCTTTGGTTTATTGTTCAAATTACAACGTTCAATTCCACGTTTTGTGTTACCACCTTAACAATCTATTGTAAACTTTATTTGGTATAGGCCGGAGTTTTGTATTTCATTTATGCCACATAGAATTTACATACCACCTTCACTTTTTGTATTTGTGCCGCCAAGAACTTTGAAAATATTGCAAGGAGACAATATTTTCGATGGACTTGCGCACATTCCTCTCTATAAGTAAATAGATTTTAAGCAATATCCAAGATTAACCAACCATTAACTACAAAAAACAACAACGAGAAAACAAACAGTGAGGGAAGATTAAGATACAGGTCAAGAGAATTAACTAAAAGATGCTCCTGACAACAGACTTATTTATTTAAGTATTTTTTGTACAATCAGCATAAAATACAATATACATTAAATATATATATATATAGAAAGAAACATGCCTACGGAAATGACAAGAAGCCAGCAATATATATTTTTTAGCCATGGCCATAGGGTTTACGATCCCCACCCCCTAAGTAAAACCGCTTTTACCCGGTTAAAACCGGTTCTTGAGCTTCCTGCTGAAAATTTTACCGGACAAGCAACAATAAATAAGCAACTACAGCAACAAGAAATATGTACAACAAATACAAAAACAAAAAGAAAGAAAAAGAACAACTAGCGGCCCAGCGATCCGTCGCTTTTTTTTATGGGTGGGCGTGGTCACGTTTTACGCCGGCCAAACAAATTCAACGCCCACACAAACTATTATACACAAACTGATGAAAAAACGAAACTAAATTTTAAGTACATCTACGTTTATGTATGTAATTGCTAATTGATAAAACAAAATAAAGAAAACACGTTTAATAAAAATATAAAAACTAAAGATTATAACTTTAAAAGGTACAACATAACTTAAAAATAATTAATGGAACTAAAATCAAAAAAGGATCAACCCAAAAGTTAAAACCAATATGCTCCTCAGAATCTGGGACTTTATAGGGTATACATTTCACTTTCGTCGCCTGGTGGCCCTTTTTGTTCGTTCGCTTTACGTTTTCTTTCGCCGCGCTGAGTTATTTTTGGATTTTTAATTTTTCTGCGTGTGTATGTATGCAATGCGGGCACTCAAAAATTTCTTAGCTTTGAGTTGTTTATCGATAGAAAATCAGTTGAGTAAAAATTAATGAGCGCTAGGAGTTAAAAATTAACAATTGTAATACCCACATTTTGCCATTTTTTTCCTCCCCATAATTTCCTTTTCGAACGATGTGTCAACCCTGTGCGACAAAAACACTCAAGAGCACAAAACGGAAAGATCCATTGATACAAAAAAAGGGAGTTCTGGAGGCACTCAAGAGCGAAAAATGCGGTTTGAAATGTAAGTTCATTAAACTGAGAGATAAAAAGATACAATATCGGAACAAAACTCAAGAGAGTAATATGCGGCTCAAAAGTTGAAGTTCATTCAACTGAAAAATACTGAGAAGAGAGAAGCAAAGCGAAAAAAAAACCAAAACCCTGACCGCCCAACCTGCGATAACGATAACAAAAAGTATCTCAAGGTTGCAACTGCATTTGCGATTATTCATATATATATTCTCTTAATCAGCTGAAGAGCGTATTTCGACCACAGCCGCAAAACAAACTCAAAACTTGGGCATAAATTGCAGGTCGAATTAAACAATTGAACAGTCTCAGTTCGCAGCTCAAATTGGAAATAAGCGGCAAACAGCATACGCTCCCCAAATCGCCAGTACGACACATAATAATAATACTAATAATAATAAGTGACCAGCTGTTTGCATTCGCGTGTTTTGAAGGTAAGTAGCTAAGTATAATATGATGAATAATTTCAAGTACAATTCGCGGTTGCCAAGTGAGAACGAAAGTGTTTTCCGTGGGGACAACGCCATAAATGTGTTAATTGTCAATAATTGTCGAGTATTTGCGGCTTATCAGTCGAGTAGAACAATAAACAAGCAAGTATCTTTAAGTTCAGTGCAAATATACATGAAAAACAAAACTGAATGGGCGAAATTACTCTTGTGTTTTATCCCAGATTACACTATCGAAATCTAATCTAAATCCTTGGCCGTGTTTACCCACAGTGGTGAATATTCTGATGCGATAAGGCCTTTGTTTTTCATTTCGAAAACACATTTCTTTTATTACCTCACAGCTGGTAGTGTTGTTCGTTCTTTCTTTATAAAAGTACGGATATAGATTGAGAATAAATTATATGTGAAAATTGACATAATTTTAAAAAATATATAAATTGTAAATTATATATTTTATTTTGCATTTAAAAATACATATTTCTTGAAATATAACCGTAAATATGTATATATATATTTAAAATTTATATTAGTTGTCTCTACATTTTCTTTAATTTTATTTTAATTATAATATTAATTATTCTATGTTTTAAGAGCTATTTATATTTTAAAAACGATTCAGCATAACCATGAGATTGGTGATTTTGGAGACGAGCGATTCGGTGGGCAAGTGGGCGGCCAAATATGTGATGAAGCGTATAAATGACTTCCAGCCGAGTGCCGACAGGTATTTATATTTATAAATTTATAAATAAAATCTATTGTGCATTTAATGAAATGCTCTATCTTTTAGATACTTTGTTTTAGGCCTGCCTACTGGATCCACTCCACTGGGAATGTACAAGGAACTGATTGAGTTCCACAAACAGGGCAAGGTCTCTTTCCAATTTGTAAAAACTTTTAACATGGATGAGTATGTGGGTGAGTTCACTTTTAGTAAATTAAAAATTAAATCAAATCAAAAAAACGAAACAATGTATTCTTGCTTTTTGAAAACTTCTACTAGATCCGTTTAATATAGTACTTTCTTATCCTTTTTAGGCCTTCCCAGGGATCATCAAGAAAGCTACCACTACTTCATGTGGCACAACTTCTTCAAGCACATCGACATCGAGCCCAAGAATGTGCACATTTTGGATGGCAATGCAGCTGATCTGGTGGCCGAGTGCAATAAGTTCGAGGATCAGATCCGCGAAGCAGGAGGAGTGGAGCTATTTATCGGTGGCATTGGACCCGACGGGCATATTGCCTTCAATGAACCCGGATCATCGTTGGTTTCCAGGACCCGGGTGAAAACGCTGGCGCAGGACACGCTGGAGGCGAATGCCCGATTCTTTGACAACGACATGAGCAAGGTGCCCAAACAGGCTCTAACCGTGGGCGTGGGCACGGTGATGGACTCCAAGGAGGTGATGATCCTCATCACGGGAGCCCACAAGGCATTTGCCCTCTACAAGGCCATCGAGGAGGGGGTGAACCACATGTGGACCGTGAGTGCCTTCCAGCAGCACGCCAATACGCTGATGATCTGCGACGAGGACGCCACTTTGGAGCTGAGAGTTAAGACCGTGAAATACTTTAAGGTATGCCCGCCCTCGATTTCCGTGACTTTGTAGAAAACGGGGCTTAGATTGGAACACAGCTGGGCTGGTTAAGTGGCTTATCAAGGTGTTGGTTTTTTTTCAAGTCCCTTACCTCAATCGTAATCGTAACAATACCTTTTTTAATCAAAAAACATGACTGGTTGTTAATTAGGTTTAGGAAATGGCATGCCTAGACTTAAGTGCTTGTAACATAATGGCTTCAAAGGTTCAAGTTGTACGGTTAATTATTGCGTTTAGAACAACAAAACTTTGCTAATGACTGGCTAACTGGCCATTGCCACAATTTCACAGGGAATTCTCAGAGATCTAGACGATGGCTCCCAACAGGAGGGCTACACAAACTGATTTTGCGTAAAGTATTCCTGTCTTTATTTTTTCCTATCAACAAACCAAACACTATGTATCCAAAGTTATTTTTAAGTTTTTGTCACTTGAAAAACAATTCAAATGAGAGTCAGTTTTGAACCAAATGAAAGAAAGACTCTACTTAATAAATGGAGACTTTCAAGAAGACAATAAAAATTAAATTTTTTAAATAAGCTAAAAATAAAATTATAGTCTTACCCATGTTCAATAAATCCTTATATTTTTTATGACTTATCCTGTATTGAACAAATAAATGGCTATATAGAATATAATTTAAAAGCATGTTGACATGAAATAAAACGCAGATATGCACGTATCGAAGTTATTTGTTGTCTTATAAAATTACGATTGTGCCAATATTCCATAGGTTAATGTGTAAGTTAACTTATTAATATAATTTCCTATTTCACACACTTTATTTAAAGGTAAATTTAATTCTCTAACGTGTAATATTTCTATTTACAGAGCCTAATGGACGTTCATTCCAAGCTGATAGAGCAACAAAAGACGACGTAGCCCCAGAAAATCAAGACATTAAACGTAGATCCAGACACCATCATGCCCTGCAGTATAGGTTTTTAAATCAAAATCAAACTAATTTTTCTATAATAAATGTATATTTTTTATGTTACAGTTTCAAGTTTTATAAAATTTTGAGATAAAATGATTTATTGCTAAGAAAATAAGACAACAGTTAATTTTGGAGGTTTGTTTTTTATAAATTTACATTTTAAGGACAACGCTGATGATGGCTTTTAATAAAAAGAAACATTTTCAGAAGCATTTTTAAGAAAGGTATCTTATTAAGTGGATTATGATTTGAAAAAGTAAACTCGTTCCAAAAGTCACCAAACATATGTAACTTCTGCTTAGATAAGTTTTTAAAAAAGCTTAAAAAAGCTTTAAAATTAACCATTTTAAATACTCATCATAAAACACCATTAATGTCTTTTGTTTTTAAATTGTATTGATTAAATTTACCTATAATTAAAAATACATTTTAAGGAAGCAGTTTACAAATAAGGATTGGCTATGCCAACATCAAGACGGGGGCCTTCACTTCCTGCTCAGGATCTTGTTGTCCGTGTAGACGAACTCCTCGTGATCCTCGACCAGGCGGAAGAGCTCCTTGGCGTAGTAGATGGACCGCACGGACTCCTCGAGGATGAGCTGGTGGTTCTGGACGGCCCGTCGCACCTGTTCGTGGATGAACATGGCCTCCAGTCGCTTGGCCCGTTGGGTCAGTCGACAGGCCTCGTTGTTCCGCAGGCGGGCTTCTCCGGCCGTCAGCCGGCCCTCCACAACGGGCTGGTGACGGGCCACATGGCTGTGGTAGCTGCAAATGTCCCCGATGACGCCGGCATTCATGTTAAAGATGCCATCGGCGGCACTGATGACGGTGCGGCAAACGGCCGGCGTGCAGACCATTTCGCGGGCCAAATGCTCGCGGATCATCTCCTGCAGTGCCTCGCGACGGGCAATGGTGAGGTAGCCACGGCGTATATACCTCCGGCCAATCTTCTCACGCATCGACTTGAAGCAAAAGACCTGGGTGCCCCAGGTTTTGCCCTTCAGCGGCTTGGGATTCTTGCGATCTGCTCGTGGCTCACGGAAAAGCTGTCTTTTCACCCGCTTAAGACTCTCCTTTTGGGCCGAAAGTCGCTCTGGCAGAAGGCAACTGTTCACCTGATGCCACACCTCGCCGGGTGTGCTCAAGGCCATCGCACTGGTGGTGCGCCAGTACATCTTGTGGCCCATGCCATTGATCAAGTACAGCTGGCGGATGCACTCGTTCAGGAAACTCCGCTTCGTGGGACTCTTGAAGTTGGGCGGATTGTTGAGGACATAGTGATCCCGCTTGTAGACCACACAATAGCCGCAGTCTTTCTCTCCGGTGAGGATGCCCGGATTCTGGTAGACAATCAGCTGCTGGTCCTTGTAGTCAATCGGTGAGTTGAAGATGAAGATCTGATTCTTCAGCGCCTCCTCCTCGTTGGGAGTGCGGAACATCATCAGCTTTCTGGGATTCTGAGCGGACTGATCCATAACTAACGACGATGGCAGTTGGAATGTGAGTGATAATGATGTGGTTGATTTGGCTGATTTATATACTACGGACAGGTAGCAAGGACTCTGTTGACCTGTTTATTCCTGTAGCTCAGAGGTTGAGTTTTACGGAGCTTAGAAATTCCAATGGCTTAAGTTCTACCTGAGATGCGACAGATGGTCACCAAGAATTACCTTACCATATCTCATTATTGTCCACCAATTTGCAATTCCCCTCAGAAAGATTCAGGTAAGGATGGCAATTAGTATTGTTACAACATGTTTTAGAATCGAAAATAACTACAGATTCCATGCAATAACATAACTTTTTGAAGGTTAATAAATACAGCAATGCAAAATGCAAAGCAAGTGTAATATCTTATAAATATATATAATATATTTTATTTATGTATATTGTAGTTAGTTGAATAGTTCGCCAAACTAATAAGACTTAAGTCCCAAAATTGTTAATCAAATTGCTTACGGGCTGGATAAACAATAAGAAAAACTTCAAATAAAAGTTTGGCAAGATTAAAACTATAATGCATTCCATAAAGACCCAAAGTTGGTTAATAATGTAGCATTTTTGTATAAAATCATTAACATACTAATTTATATCAACAACAATAAACCACAAATGAGATTTTTAAACTTATACTGCTAAAAATTGAGACTTCCAGTTGAATAAAAAATATTTTTATATTTATATGCTCTTATATTTGAATTTATTCAAATATTTCACTATTTGCGTTTGCTTAGTTAAGAAAGTTAAGAAAACGACATTTTTCAACACAAATTCTTCGAATTGATTTGTCAGAATGACATTAAGTGTTGGCTAAACCTGTTGACAAAATCACAAACAATCGCAGTAGCTTATGGGTTTTCATCTGGCTAAACGATTACATTTTCTTGAATAAATTAATGATTTTGCTCAAGAAGTACTTTTGTTTTTGTCTTTTATTTGCCTTAAACTCAAAGCTATCTAAGTTAAGAAATCGAGTTGAAATACAATAGCAAACACTGCGAAACCCGTGAAAACATAGGCGGAAATCAGTTGCCAAGCTAAAGAGGCTATAAGAATAAGAAGAGGAGAAATATCTAATCAGGTAATTATGGAAAGTGTTACCTTTTTGCTTTTGGGAAAGTCTATAAGAGGAAATCCCGAAAAAGGATACGATTTGTGTTGTGGATTACAGCAGGCTTGAATAATCGAATTTTGTCAACTTTTTTCGTTAATCCAGGCCAGGTGTTTTGGGCCATAAAGCAGCCCTTGTTTAAGTGCAGGTAAAGCTCACCAATCGCCAGGTAAAAGCCTATATTGGAGTAAGCCTTAAAACCAATTTTAGGACCAAACGAAGCCAAAAAAAAAAACATATAAGTGTGAGGGACGAGGAATTGCAGCTGTCAGAGAGAATCGAGCCATCAGATCGGCAACAGCATGGGCAACGTAATGGATCGCAAGGTGGTGACCTGTTCGGAGGCACGTGCCACGACGAATGCCACGCCCACTCCCTGTCTGACGCCCAAGCAGGAGCAGGAGTCGATGAGCATGATGAAGCCCGAAGTGGAGCAGTCGGAGCAGCAGGAGATTGTGCCCAATTTGACATTTCACTTGTTCAGCTATCGCCAGCAAATGGGTTGCAAGAAGCATCAGCTGATGAAGTGGGCCACCTCGAAGCTTCTCCTAACCGAGGAGCTATTGAAGCTGCACAGGCAGCATGTTCAGTCCACAACTGAATCCTGGACCAACTATGAGAATCTGCTATCCGATGAGGAGGATGAGGAGAACAAGGCACCAGCTGGCCATAATGATGATCCGCTGGCCCAGGAACTGTGCCACCTCAAGAACTACCGCCTGGAACTCAGGGGCACCATTGTGGAGGTGGCCCAGGAGAGGATGAAGAAGCGGGAGAAGAAGAAACTGAAGCGCCTGAAACGACGCACCCTGATCTCCTCCAAGAAGCCCAGCAACAAGAACAAGCATAAGTTTGGGTGTTTTCAACAGGATTTGGAGGAGCATCTGACCTCGGATCCTGAAAATCAGCCAGAAGTCATTGTCATCGATTAGTCTTAGTCTTAGTTCCTAAGTTTTAGTTAATTTAGTTGTTACTCTCGTTTTAATTGTACATAAATATATATATATATATATATATTATTTTTAAAACCGAATTATTTTTTGCTGATTTTTAATATTGCGGGTATATGTAAACTTTCTGGTGTTCATCGTCACTATGTTGAAGGCCTTCTTTAGTGATATCCTAGTCTCTGTTTTTATATCTATTAAAATAGTAAATAGCTCAATAAACACAACCATTTGCATTCTATTCTTTACTGATTTTTTTGTATTGCGGTGCACATCGTCACTACTTGGACTGCCGTCTATAGTGATATCCTAGTCTGTGTTTTTATAACCATTAAAATAGTACACAGCTTAATAAACACATCCACTTGCATTCCATTTGACCAACTGACTTTTGACGGGACTCTGGGCCTGGCCCAAATCAAAGTTCAATGAGCTCGGTGGCCGGCATATCCTGTATCCGTTCCCTGGATGCATAATTAAACTGTCGCGTAATTGATTGCGACTCCCGTTTCCTGAGTTTGTCATTGCTCCTGCACTTTTTCATTTGATCCTGCTCTCGTTTTACAATCAAACAGTAGCAGTACTTTTTAAAATTTAAATTACAAACATATACTGACAAAAAACTGAATGGAAAAAGAACATCTTACTATTGAAATCAAAACTTTATATTTGATAGTCTCATTAAACTTTTGTTCATAATAGTTATTACAATAAATGTTAAATTGTTTGATTTAATATTTAAGTATTTTAGTGAAATAAGTAATTTAGTAATGAATGAATGAAACGACAAATTGAGTACAAAATATTTTGATTAAGCAATTTTTAAACTTAAGTTTAAACAGCATCCCTTTGGAATTTAGTTGTCTAAATTGGTAATTTATTTCATTAATAAAATTGTGAACAATACACAAAATAACCTTAATCAAATTTTAACACAAATGCATACGTTTATTTTGAATTTAGTAATTTACTTGAGATATAAAACTATCTTCCAAAGAGCCGACCCAATTCTGCAACTTATTTACAAGCCAAAAGCAGAGTTTCCCAATAATCCCCAGACAGTTTATCTCTGCAAGTGTGTCACATTATAACCCCTAAATCTCCTCTGACAAATTGTCCAACTGCTGACGTTTTGTGATAAACTGTAACCCCTTTTTTTTGGGCCCAATCTAATCTAGCGACTAATTAAATTTACTCACACGAAAAATAAAACCACCCGAGTGCAGTCGAGAAAGTCGAATAAATTATTGTGGGTCATGCAACTGGAGTTTGCAATTACGGGCAAGCTTGAAGGATATGCTATATTTATGTGGGTCCCAAGGAGCAGCTCTTTGAACTTGTCCCAGAAACGTGCCAAAAAATATTGCGCCATTTTGAGCAATTAGAAAGTGCGAAAACCGAATGCAATTATCGCATCAACACGGGGAATACAAGGTATTTAATAAAAAATAATTATGAGCAGGTCAACCTATTTACGGGAATGCGAATGGAAGTGCGGATCTGGACTACGACAAGGATGTGGATGAGGATACGAGCTGGGCACGCACTTTGGAATACGCAGACAGACGCCTGACACAAATTCCCCCTTCGACTTACACAACTCAACTGGCTTGAAACGAGTGAAAATGGCTCCTGAAAGGGGCTGCAATTTCGAATTCCTTGCAACGCATCAAAGCGCACACCAAATTGTGACATGTCCTCGCCGAGGACACCCACTCCCAGTTTTCCTGCCACCCACCCACCACCCACCACTCCATGCCACCCACTGTGTGGCGACCACAAACAACACAATACAATGCTATGCCCCACCAGTCGGCCATCGAAAAGGGAACAAAAGAAGTGGCACATGCACTAAGAAAAAAATAAAATAAACCTAAAAAACTCTTTTATCAATTTGTCGTCAATATCTAAAAAATAAGTACTATTTATTTTGTTCAATATAAAATATTGAAATTATTGCTTACTTTTAAAGATTTTGTAACTAATTAATGTCCTTCATTTTTTTAATTTTAAGAACAGATTTTTAAACAAATTTATTTGAGTGAAAGAGAAAGAAAATAATTTAATTAATTTTTTTAAATCTAATTAAAACATAAAAAAATGTATTTCGAAGTGGAAAGCTACCTGCAGATTACTTAAATTTGTATTCTGTATTAGCATAAAAAACTATATTGTATTTTTACTGCTCTATTTATTTACTTCGTGTTGTTATTTTTCGAAGTGTATCTTGCGATGGCCCTTTTGGGGGTTGTGTGGGTGGGTGGTCGGTCCTTTGAAGGAGCAACCACCTCATCTCCTGCCACTTCCACGCATGTGTAGCCGTTGTTAATTGCCGACTAAGCGGAAGTTTCCAAACATTTTTGCTTTAATTAAATTTTTTAATAAATACGTAGGAAAAGCATTTTATTAATTGCAAACATATTTAGCAGCGCCTTCAAGGAATCCCAGACCGTTTGTTTGAAGAAAGTCACCCTCAGTTCCCTTGTTCTTTTTATTTTGAAGACAATTTGTTAATGGTTTTTGGTGTGACTAATTCAAGAGCTTGAATTTCAAAGAAAAAGCGGCAATAAATTATAAACAAAAAAATAAGTAACCACCAAAAATGAATTATAACTATGTTGTATAATATTACCAAACAATTTTGGGAAAGGGAAATAATTTGCATTAAGGATAATAATAAGGATAAATAATTTGCTTTATTTTATTTTTAAACTCAGTAGCAACCACAAAAATAACTAAAAACATAACATTTTGTCTTAAGTCTTTTTTAAGAAATAGTTTACTTTGAAAGGGAACAATTTAGTGGTTTGAATATATGTTTGATGTATTGTTTTTATAGTGTTTTAAGTACAACCAAGTAGCCTTGATACGGAATTCAAAATTTCTTCTGCCTAAGTAGGTTTTGTTTATAGCACTTTTAGTTGTCAAACTGCGTACTCAGCGTCCACATCGAATATCTCATTCCGTTTTTGAGTCTTGCTAAATTCATACGTTTTCATTCGTTTCGTTTCTATATTTATCTAAAAAACAAAATAAAAATTAAAAATATAAAAAAAATAGTGGTAAATTCTGTCCGAATTCGTAGTACTCCTTTTTTCTGTTCTATCATTTCTGTGTGAATCTTCTAAAAGAACAGAAAATAGCAACAAATTTTGTGAAAACAGGAAAGATAAATATATATTTAAAGAGGTTAAATATCGCAAGCAGAAAAACTGGTAGGTCATAAGAATATATACATATTGATTGAATTTGATTTGCGTTTAAATATATTTTCGGTATTTGGATAGAAGTTTTTTTTTATTTTATGTATAGAAGCTCTTTCAACGATTATATATCTATGTTCCAGTTTATAATCAAAAATTTATCTTCCACTTGCAGATAACAATCCCAATACCCAAGATGTCGGACAACATAGTGTGCCACAAGTGCAACGAGGCCATCACCAAGCGGATGATCACCGCCCTGGGCAAGACGTGGCATCCGGAGCACTTTCTGTGCCAGCACTGCGAGGAGCAGATAGTGGACGCCACCTTCAACATCCAGGGCGGGGAGCCGGTGTGCGGCAAGTGCTTCGAGGAGCGGTACACGAACACCTGCGCCGGCTGCCAGAAGCCGATCCTGGAGCGGACCATCTGCGCGATGAGCCAGACCTGGCACGAGGACTGCTTCTGCTGCGAGGGGGCCTGCAAGAGGCCGCTGGCAAACCAGCCCTTCTTCGAGCGGGACGGCAAGGCCTATTGCAAGCAGGACTACGAGGACCTCTTCGCCGCCAGGTGCGCCAAGTGCGAGAAGCCCATCACGGACTCGGCGGTGGTGGCCATGAACGTCAAGTGGCACCGCGACTGCTTCCGGTGCAACAAGTGCGAGAATCCCATCACCACACAGACCTTCAGGATCGACGGCGACAAGCCCGTGTGCGCCGCCTGCAACTGATGATCCAAGGATCCTGGGATCCACATCCCAATCCTGGACAGCTCCTCCACAGCCCTTCGCCGCCACATTGTTCGTTTCCTGACACAATAGTTCTAATTTGTAACCGAATGTTAAAAGGCTAAAAGGCATCCCAGTAACACATTCACAAAATTAAACAATCATTTACACTGCTAAATCAAACCATAACACACTCGACCAATAAAATAAATGAAAACCCAAATTATCTTTTTACTGGGTCATCTGTGCTAAGCAATTAAAAAAAAAGTGTACTTAATAAAACTTTATACATTTTTAAAAATGTACATTGATGCTTATCATTGTATACAGAAAAACAGATTACAAGTTTTTAAATTTGCTGAGTATTAATTAGATTTTAAAATTTAAAATGATTTGTGACCAGGCACAAGTTTTTAATCTATAACCACCGAGATTAAATTAATATGTGTTATAGATTGATATTAGTTTTAATGCATTTTTAAAAAGGTCACATTTAATATGACATCTATAATCATTCAGTAAAATCTGGTGCCCAAGCAATCACAATAATCTTCATAATAATATATATGTATTATATTTGATTAAACATTTTCAATTCATATTTAATATAACATTTCTAGTCATCCAGCTAAATCTGCACTCCAAGCAAACAAAATAATCTTAATTAGAATGCAGCCCCTGAACTTTGTGGCAAACAAAAGAATATGTTTGCCCAAGACCAACATTTCCCACAATTACCAAGTGATAAGCTGGAGATAAGGTGGAACCCAAACCCTTTCCCAATAAAAGGCAAATATTTTGAGAAACCCACAAACGAAAGAAGCTGTCAAGGAAAGTGCTTGACATGAGATCATGTTTCCAAAGGTAAATAAAATGCACCGCAGTAGAACATGCACATCTGATTATCTCATATACCCTATTAGTTGGTGGCATTGGGACTTGGGTTGGGATGACGTTGATTAGGGGGAAAATGGAAAACTCAGCGAGGGTGTTTTCATGCCATCGTCGTCATCGTGGAAAATGTACATCGGCTGGCGAAAAAACACGAAGCCACTTCGTCAGTCGAGTTTTCTGTACGATTCTGTTGGGTTTCTGCGGCTTTGGAGTTGCCGGTCGTCTGTTGCCGGTTTCAGTTTCATTTTTCAAACGGAGCTCGTGCGAAGCGGTTCGGTTGTTCAGCGCTTTTCCCACAGTCAGTTGCCAAAACAGTGTTACCGCGGAAAAGCTGGCCAAAGTAGCGTTAAGGTGGCTAATTAATTACCTTGCCGAAACTGTCCCATAAATAATTCGAGGTATTTGAGCCGAGCCAAACAATTAAGGAGTCTGCGAAAAGCGAAAAGCTGCAGCAGCTGCAAGACATCCATAAATCGTGTCTAGGAAAATCAAGATCGTGTTTACGTATGTAGCGAGCGGCAAAAAATTTATTTGCGAATTATGGTCAGATTTGGCCACAATTGGTTTTCCAAATGCAGCCAATATCCTCACGTCGAGTGGCACTGACAACTCAATACGAAAAATCGTGTCGATCGCCACCGGATAATTGTGATTTAGTTGTGCGTGTCTGAGTTGGATAAGTTTACACAATTTGCGACTGCATATAATTGCAGTTTATTGGGGGACATATTGTAATATGTCGAAACTGAAGACGGCATGTTGAAATAAGTAATTGCTTAAATAGTTGCTAATGTAAATACCACATTTTTCACAATAATAATCAGCTGGAATCTGTTTTATTACTTGTTTAGTAGTTTCTGACATAGTTGCCTAATTATATTACTTACAGCAATAAGAAAAAATATAAAAAAAAGTGTAAAAACAATTCAAAGTTGCTTTCATATTTTTCCAAAATTCTATATAGACTTAATTTAAATTAGCGAGCTAAACAAAAATTAAGACTTCTTTATTTTAATACGGGTTTTATAATAATGTTTTTCAACTTAAACCATTCTATGAAATTAACAACACTTTGTAAGCAATTCATCAATTTAAAAATGTCAGAGTTGATGGCTAAATGTGTTTTTCATTAGCACCGGTGAAAAGCTGATTAAAATGTAGATATTTATAAAATGTGATTTTAATTAAATAGCGTTTCTTTTTAATTACCTAGGTGACAGAAGATTAATTAGAAGCATATGCAAATGCCAGTCAAGAGATTAATTTACATACATATTGCAAATGCCTTTACAAGTGATCCGGTCTTAAAACTCAAACAATGAGATCAATTAGAGTTTGCTTTCATATTTGCCATTGGTTTTTGTTATGGTTCAATGGTAACATCACGCATACGCCACCTTGACAGCGGCTGGCATTCCTGAACCCTTTTTCGTGGAAACCAAACAAGAACTCTAAGCTCCCAGGCCAAAATTATTGATGCTACACTCGCATTCTTTTCCAATTCGCCGATGTCTGTGAACGAAAAAAATAACAAAGACAACTAACAAGGCGAAGGCACTGAGCGAAAAGTATTTTGTATTTAAATTCTTTGAATTCTTCTTTTATTTATTTGAAAATCTTTTAAGTGTTACAAAATTTGGATACATTTGCTGGAAAAATATTTAAGTATTATTTTGGTAGGTGGTTCAACAAACTTGCTTAGGATAAGCTTTTTTAAATATTTAATAATTTATTTTGAACCCTACTTAAATTGTAAATTCTTGATATCAGTTTAATTGAACATTTCAGTATTGTAAAAATATAAAAGATTACATTTTGAAGTGAATCTTTTATTAATATCATATTTGAATTAGTTTTTTAATTTATTTGTTTTGTGCTAGAGAAGGAAAACCAAGATTATCGGGTCTTAATAATTTCGGATATCTATTAATTAATTAATATTAGAGCCTATTATTTGTTGCAGTGCAGTTAAAAAACAGTCGGGGGCAGTCACTGACACTGAAGAACCTCCACAGTCGTTCTTTGACTCTTGCGGTCGTCGGTCGTCGGTCGTTCGTAAATCGTTAGTCGCCGGCTTCGAATAATTCTTTTCCTATATGGCAATTGCCATTTTTGGCGCAACAGGACGGCCTGTAGGAGACGCACCTTAAAAGTGCGCCCGGATCGCCTGGCTGGGTCGCATAACCTTTAATTGGTGGGGCGAGGGAAACGCCATGGGCCTTTCAAAAACTCTCCCAAATTGGCAACCGGTTGCCTGGCTCCCATTCCCAGCGAATGTTTCTGATTCCGTGTGTTGAAGAGGCTGGAAAAGCCTCTTTGTGTCAGTCGTGTGTCATTAGCATCCGCCAACTGAGCTCCCAGTGTGTCAAAAGATTTGAACTTTAAAGTGTTTAAGGTGCTCAGGTGCTGACTCTCCAGAGCCCCGCAGACGAAAAGTAGACAGCAGACACATTTGGACTGCCAGTCAGAGTCAGTCAGTCAGTCAGTCGGTCGGCTATTGCCTGCACTGCAAACAAAATCTGGATAAAATCAAGAATGTTAATATGACTTGTAAAATCATAAAAACTAGGGTCCAAAAGTTACTTTTAATACAATTGTTTGTTTTATAAAAGAGCTCAATTTTGCACTTAAATTAAACTATCTTATGGCTCAAGTATTTCCAGACTAGTAAAATATTATATTTGTGTCAATTTAAATTCCTAAACATTTTTATTTATTGCATTTCGGAATTTCAACTTTTAATCAAACATGATTGAAAAAATTTTACAAATTTATGAACATTTGTATTTCTAATTAATATAAATTAATGTTATCGTATTTTAAATAAACTAAAAAAAAATAAAGGATTTAAAGAGCACATTTTTTTTAACACTATTTTTGATCTAGGCTCTAATTCAAAAATTTAAATTAAAATGTAAATGTAAAATTTTCGCTCAGTGTTTGTGAATTGCTTATCACGTTGTTTGACTTTGGGGCTCGCTTGAATTATGCGTGCTATCTTCCATTGCCATTCCCCTGGCCAGCGGGTAATTCACGCCGCAATTGTCTCTTTCGGGTTCTTTTTATCACACCTGCCGTGCACCGCTGGATACCACACACATACCAGCCATATAGTGCCATTCGCTGGTGTGGATGTGGATTGGAGTACCAGTACGAGTACCAGTACCTACTCCATGGAATACCTACTCTATTTAGTGGCAGAGTACACGTACTTCCACTTTGTGTTGCTCTTTTCATGGCACGTCCTCCTCGAGTGTTTGCCTTGGTACTTGCTTAGAATTCGTTAGTTTGGGTTAACCACATTCACAGCTTTTTTACCTTTATTTCGGTATAAAACAAAGAGCAGGGAATTATTTAAGAGCATTTGCTGAAATCTGGCAATTTAAATTGGTAAAAAGCTTTACCCTAACAAAGTTATTCTATCAACAATAAACTGAATAATATCTGTATTATTTCAAAAAACCCATCAACTTTTCGTGCAGAGCAAGCAAACAAACTGTGAAGTAATCCCTCAGACAGCAACAATTTATTTGCCCAAATAATTTAATTAAATTATTCCATTTAAAAACCGATTGTGCCAGCCAAAAGCGATTCGACACAAAGTGAATTGGCAAAAATGACGATTAATAACAATAAGAACAAAAAAATAACACACCCGAGGGGTTTGGCCTTAGAACCTCCCATAAAAGTGTGCAGAATAAGATCCCAAAACCAAACAAAACAAAGCAAAGTCAAAAGTAAAGACCATAAGCTCTTCGACTGGCGCTGGCCAAAAATAGAAACCGAAAACCATTTAATAACAATATCAATAATATTGTAATGCCGAAAAAGGAAAACAAATTCAAAGCTCATTTTGAATTGCAATAATCAGAATTCGTAGACCCCGCGGCTCTCGGGAATTTTGTGGCGAATTAATAGAATGATAAATTAGATTGGTTAAATGTGGGCGCCGCTATCAATAATATAAATTACAATTCATACCCTTTTAAAGGGTATTATGATGCAATAGATCTTAAAAAATGTTAAAAATACATTTTTCTTCTGTTTTTTTAGATTTATTGAATTGAAAAAAATATTTCCAGCTTTGTTTTTTATTTCAAAATAATAAATTCAATTATTAGTGTCCATTTTGATTTAAAACATCACACACTTTTATAGGTTTACCAAATTTTTTATCAGAATACAGGTTAATACAATAATTTCTAGGGTATAAAAACTTCCATTTCTAATATTTAGGAATAATAGTTTTGTCCCAAAAACAACAAACTATTAATGTTCGTGGTCTCTATATCTGCCATACTCATTGTTCTTTTTTTCACATTTCCTGCT